CTCCCAGTTTTTAAATAGTCAATACACTTACTTTTACTTTAACAATACAATTAGATAAAATAGTTATTAAATATGATAAAGAAGAAATTATGAATAACTGTTGATGATATATGTATTATAATTTTATTGAATTGTAACCTGTGCCTGCGTTACCGGTTTACGCTGACAAGGAACTAATGGAATATGATAAGCGAGCATGAGGTCAGGTCAGTTAGCCCATCGTGACAAATATACCAGGAATATATCACCAAGGGGAATCGTGTGGAGGTTAACCTGACATGGTACCGTATATCATTGCTCGCGATCATCAACCCACATTATTAACAACTCACTTCTCCCTGTGTTTGGATATTAAAGTAACATTTACAATTGTCTAGTACACATAACACAAGCTCGAGTTAGCTTGAGGTTATTATCATATATTATTTTTATTAAAAGTTGATATTTTTAATTTTTTTTTGTTATCACAAAAATTTGCATCATATGATATTCTTACATTTGTAAAATAAAAATACACTTATATTTAAAACTATATACATATATGTAGTTGGTAATGAACAAGTGCATATTAATACTTCTCACGATTCAGAGAATATTAATCGATTACTTGGCCTTATAATGGCGATTTTTAGTTTTCGAGAGTTGGTTGTAAAGGTACAAATGTTGTAAAGAAAGTACTCTTCGTAAAGAAGTCCAGCGTTTCACTTCTTTATAAGCATTTTAATATTTACTTATGTAGGCCTCGCTCTTTCAGTCTTTCGCAAGCATTTTCTGGGCTAGCTAAAGAAAATATTTATGTCACAACCGTACCTAGTCTACCCTAATTTGAGGGGATTATGAAGAATTTGTTAAATCGAGCATATCGGTATATAAGGGTTATATATTACGGTTACAGGGTATTTTTTAAGGATGATAATGGAAGGCTAACGGTTTACACTGGCGGGGCACCAGTGGGGGTGATAAAATAAACATGAGGTCAGGTCAGTTAGCCCATCGTAACAAATTCGCCAAGAATTTATCACGATGGTTTCCAGGGGAACCACGTGGAGGTCAACCTGACGTAGTAAATTGCTAGCAATGGGGTCATCAGTCCACATTACTAACAATCCGTTTCCCCACATGATTACAGTGTATTAGGCAGATTTGTGCTAACATTTTTATCTGTGCATTGCGTTCCTAGTTTAATAAATTGTTTGTATGTTTGTATAGATATAATAGACTATCGAAGTTTGTAAACATAGTCACAATCGCGTGTCAATGTCGTTCGGAATATTTAGGCCTTGTTTACATTATTTTATTACGTATCAGGAAAATTAATCAATTGAATCCGGAACCAGCGTATTGGGATGCAGTGTTGTTAGAGCTCCCAATTTTATTGGAGCTTTTATGTAACTAGATGGGAAACCATCTGTTGGAAAATATAGAGACATGGTAAATTAGTATTCCGTAATGGCAACACTGTTATGTATAGAAGCGATACGTAAATATTATAAAACATATTCCAATACCCACAGCAGGTGCCACAAACAGGATTCAAATCAGTAAGCTGACAACCCTTATCACTTAGGGCTATCGTCGGTTAAATAGAAAAATGCCAGTATTCAAAATGTACAGTTTTGTCTTAGCTTGAAGACAAGCATTAAAAGTTTTAAAGTTTTTAAATGTATTTAAATTATATTTACTCTTTAAAGTTTTAAATTTACAAAGAAGTATTATATATCATTTTAAAAAGTATTAATTGTATTATAGTATTATATAGTATTTTAAAAGCGTGGGTTATTTAATTGACTTAAAAGGAGGGCAATTCTTGCTTCTAATTTTGAAAAATGATTTTTGAATTAATGAAAATAATATTTTAATAAAGGTGTTACATATGAATGTGGATGGTTATAAAGCTCGAGGAAGGGCGAGAAAGAGATGGATGGACTTAAAGCCAGAGGAATGCCGATGAGAAAATGAGTTGGATGGACTGTGTGAAAGATTATATGGTAAGAAAGGGAGTAAATAACGAGATGACTGCGAACATGGATAAATGGAAGAGAATAACATAAGCCGACCCATATTAATGGGATAATGAAGATGATTTTACTATCAATTCTTGTTGTTTTACTATTAATATTATTCTCCAATAAATACTTGACTGACGGAATACTGAAAAAAGGGGGAAACATTAAACAAATAATGCCCTATCACTATTATTTACTACGCAACGTTGTATTTGTTGTTGATTGCATATGAATGAGTATCATATCGAATAGAATACTCGTTAATTGTTCCAAGAAACGTATGTAGACTATGATTTCATAGTGTTAATTAGTTCACGATAAACAAGACTATTATGATGCAGTTGGAACTGTTGGAAATTGTCCAGTGATTACCTACGCCCAAGGACAGATCTAATTATGTAATCGTTACGGACTCCATAGTATATAGCTACGTACAATAGCCATTTTTTTTACTGTAAATATATTGACGACCTCGGTGGTGTAACTGTTTAGTACACAGCCTCACTTCCGATGGTCGCGGGTTCGATTCCTTGCACGTTACATATTTTTGTATTTATGAGTATGATTGTTTGTATCGATTTAGATATTTTCTATGTATATTATGTATGTATTTTAAAAAATCTATGTAATTACATCAGCTCTATAGTTCCCATAACACAAGCTTTGTTTAGCTTGGGACTAGTTTAGCCAAATAGGCGAATAGCAATATTCATAGTAAGATAGAACAATATATGTTTGGACAACTAGAGTTACTAATATTTTAATCATTTTTAATAATATTATAAACGCGAAAGTTAGTAAGTATGGATGTTTGTTACCTACTCTTTCATGCAAAAACTACTGAACGGATTTTTATAAAACTTTGCAGTAATGTAGCTTATGAATCAGAATAACACACAGGCAATATTTTTTATTGAAATTTAACGCAGGTGAAATTGCGAGCACAGCTAGTATTTGATTAAAAATAAAAAAAATCTGATAATCTTAAATTTAAGCGATATAGAAAGGTCATCTTTATTTTTTAAATCAACCACTTATTTAGAAAGTTGTCTCTTAAACCGAGCAAGAAACTTGTGTGTTACTCTTTCAAACAAATGTGGTAACTTTACATTTCTAAGTTGGAATGTGTGAATACAAAAAACAAATAGTTTATGACTTTACATTTTTAAGTTAAAATGTGTGAATGCAATATAATAATGAATTCTATTGTAACGTTTAATTATTGTGTTACAATTTCGACATCCTCGCCGACAATGCTATCTTCGACGAGTTCTCTAAACTATACAGCCAATTGTTTGTAGCTATTAATAACAACACAACTGCAATAATTGCGAAGGTTAAAGGGCAAATTGAGGATCGGTCGGGCGCGCTGAGACCGAATTGAATCCACTCACGTGACTTTCAATGACCGTTATCGGAAAATTGGCGGGAACGTCACTAATTGAAATGTCATGTAACTTTTTAAATTGGAATCGAAAACAAGTAGTAGGTAAAGATGGCTGTATAGGCTGAGTTCTTTTGCTTTTCCATGAGGGAAAAGCGAACTAAAAAAAAAAATAAGGAGTACCTCCATATTTTTTTTAATTCGCTTTTCTAATGCCTTATTATTATGGAGTTGGATTTTGTAAAATGTTGTCTATGGGTTTCCTTGTTCCCACAAATTTTAGTCGCCACCAGCTTTATAAAACGCCAAGAAATCAAACTAACTTTTTACTCGTTTATCAACATTGCACACTTACCTCGACATAAACATAATATGAAAATATAATTTTTCAAAATTAAAAGCTAGAATTGCCTCCTTTTATATAAGTCATTTAAATTAACCACGCCGCGGTGCCGTTTTAATCATTATATAATACTTTTAAAATGACATATAATACTTCTGTGCCAATTTAAAATTTAAAGGAAAAATAATTTAAATAAATTAAAAAAAAAACTTTAAATGCGTGTCTTATAAAAACTGTACATTTTGAATACTGCCATTTTTCTATTTAACCGACGATATCTGGTACATTTAGATCAATATGGACCGTGTTAGGATACGGAAACATAACAAAAATTTTGATTTAACAAATTGTCAATTTATAGTATTATTTATAACATTTATTTGTTTATTGTAATATTACATTCTATTCCCACCACTGCCCATCAACCACTTTCTGTTCTTACCTAATGTTTAGCTGGTAGGGAATACCATATGGCAAAAGGCTCGCAAAATTGTACAATTTTTAAAAGTGCAATAAAGAATAAATATATATACATATATTACAACACCATCACAGAATATTCAATCCGGTGTTGCAACTTAGTACAGTATACATATATATGTATACCTATTAATTTATTACACAACATATACATTATAAAAATTCAAGAAACTTTTGAATGGCTTCTATGATATTCCGACTACAATCAAAATTATCAATATCATTTCTGATATTGTTCATTATCCCTAAAACATATCTTATACATCAGAATAACGTTGTCTATCAACTATGTATATATATACATATAAGCTATATCACTGTAAAGTTGTAATTATAACTGTAATGACTGTTTGTACCAAAATAAATAAAAAAAAAAAACAACGCATAGGCTAAAATATCAAGTGGTCGAAGCCGCGGGTATAGCTAGTATTACATAGAATATAACGCTTATCGTTCAAATATTAGGTTATAATATAATACTGTTAATTAGATAGTAAGTAAATTAATTCAAATATTTTATACCTTCATACATTTCTATAAAAATATTGAGTAAGGATAAACTATTCAGGTTATCATTACTTAATATTTTTATAGAAATTGAGAGTTCGTTAATTATTTTATTAAAATAAATAATTTTATTAAATAATTTAAATTATTTTCTCTCAATTTCTATAATAACATTGAGTAAGGATATCCTAATTATTTTCACAGATGATCTGCTGAAATAACTAAATCCCCAACACTATATTCCTGTAAGATGTTAAAGGTATTATTTTTTATGTTGCAGTACTGAAATGTGCTTCCAACAGCGATGACCCTTTATGCCTACCGGACAAAGAAAAAAAAGGTGTGTACTTATTCCATTTTGTATGACGTATTGATTTATTGTTCGGATCTAGTTGATATCCGGCATTAGAGCATTATCACGAGAGTCATGATAACGTGATGTCCATAGTTCTGTTCATGTATATAAACAATTCTAAAATTCAACATTTTTTTTATTCATGTAGGACATTTTAGCCAATTATGAACGTCAAATTTTTTACATTATAATATATATCCAATTCGGTTCAGTATATAGATCCAATTGAGAAAAACTGGCAAGAAACTCAATTGATTTTTTTTTATAAGCCAGTTTATTTGCAATGTAAATTTATATAGTTGTCTATGTCTAACATTAAATGAAAATACCGTGCATGAACAACTATTGCCATGCACGCTCGTCGTTCAAGTAATCGTTTAGCGAGTAATAGGCTTGGCTCAGTATTGTGATTTAACAGATGTAAATGTATATACAGTGTTACCCTAGTAACAAGAATAGTAAATGCTGTGGGCCCTGCGCACATACCCCTTTCCTATTTGATATTATTTGTTTATTATGTGCACATAATACACAAATACTTATAAAAATAGTAGTTATGGTAAATGTATTTATGAATTATATGATTAACTAGCTGTTACCTGCTATTTCGACCTCGTAAAATATATCTTCCTTTTCTTTAATAAATAAGACTTCTAATATAAAAGTAGCCTAAGTTATGACATTCTCGTCTCGTCTCGTCAGAATCGGTCCAGCCGTTTCAGATATTACCAAGATCAGACGGACCAATAGTTTTTAAATATTTTTTTGGTATAAGTACCGTATATACTTTATATATGCATTTATTGGAAGGCTGTTAATTTGAAATTATTAACAGATATTTTATTTCATTGCATTGATGTCTATTACAAATATGAAAGCAAAAGTTCAAAAATAAATTTTATTTTTTAATTGTAGCAACTCAGAATCCAGTAAAATACCGGTCGTTGTAAGCGTTTTTTTTATTAAATCCAAACTTAATAACCGAATTCCGAAACCAAACCCAGAACCCATTACAAGTATTTGCTATCGTGGTTACGACTTACCACTGAATCGAGTAAAAGATTGGTCCTTTTTTAAGCATTTTTTTTATTAAACACAAACTTGATGACCGAATTCCGAAACCAAACCATGGACCCATTAAAATAATTTACTACAGGCCATATAGGCGACGGTTACCACTTATCATCAGATGGGGCGTCAGTGTGTTTACCATTCGAATTAAAAAAAAATGTTTTTCAGATAATCGAATAATTTGCTACAAGTCTATAGCATATAGACGACTTCTAATGGCAAATCGCCTATGTATGGGGCGTTAGTTTGTTTACCATTCGAATTTAAAATATATATGTTTTTCAGACAAATCAAGTGTTTACCAAGGTAATCAGTGCGCCCCGGGAACGTATTGGAAGACTGAATGTAACACGTGCATGTGCGAGCCGGGAGGTTTCGCCACCTGTACCAAAGTGGGATGCGATAATGGTGAGTTATGATAATTGGAATTCGTTTAAAATTATGGTGTATTTTTATAAAATACTAGCAGATCCCGCAAACTGTGTTTTGCTGTATAAATTGAAGCACTTAATAAATAGGGGTTGGTGGTAGAAGATTGAAGTTTTAGGGTTGTATGTATTTTTTAATACCACATAATAAAAATATGAAAGAAAAATAAAAAATATTTTTTTTGGGGTGAACCACCCTTTACACTTCGGGGTATAAAAATTAATAAACTCTCATACCTACTGAATATACATATAAAATTTCATCAAAATCGGTCAAGCCGTTTCGAAGGAGTAAACACGAAACCTGTGACACATGAAGTTCATATATTAGATGGTCTTAAGACTTAAAATATAAATATAGAATAGTTTATTTTACTTATGTTTACAATACATAATAAAAAAATGATGAAGAATAATGACAAAATAATGATGGATGTCATTCAGATAAAATATTTAGTAATAAAGTTGCGTTCGTTCAATATTCTCAACAGAATTAAAATACGAACGAGTAAATAGGAACGCCATTTTCTATTACTCTTACAATCGTACCACGGGAAACAAATACACTTAAATACTATGCAATAAAAACAAATAAATATTTCGGACCAATATACGATTAACGAAAAATGGTTCGCTATTAACCATTTTTCGTTAATCGTATAGTATACAAGCGAAATCTCTCAACAATCTTCTAAAAGATCTTGGCCTGTCTACAACTGCAATAAATTCTATACTAGAATGCGTATCTAAAAGCTAGACTAGCAGACTCCTACCAGATTTGGCTATACAGGGAGAGAAATGCGGAGAAGAGAGCGATGAAGGGGAGTATTGACGTATGTCAGCAAAAGACCCCAAAACCTACACCAAGTCACAAGTTCCGGGAACTGATCGGAGTTTACCTCTCTGCCCCATGATGGCCCTTCACCCGCACGCTGAATCCATATGTACAGAGTTTAAAGGCATAATATAAACGGGGTTTCATATCCAAGATAAATAATCCATGATAACTTGCTGTTACTCACGATTTCTGCTTTTTGTGATAACAGATAGCCCATCTCCGTCCTCGTAATACCTACCTAGTAACTTAACGTCAAATTTGATCAAGACTGTGATAATTGATGGCCTATGTCCATCCTCGTAGTAGTAGAATAAGTTTTTACGTCAAATTTCATCAATAATCACTCAGCCGTTTAGTCATATAAAGATTATAAGTAGACAGACACACTTTCGTGTTTATAGATTTAGTGTGAATGGCGAATATTGTCATAAATATATTAACAAATTGGAAAGCGTCGTGGCCTAGTGCTTTACTACCCTGAATTACGCTCAAGAGACCGTTAGGTCAAATCTAGTCAACACAAAATAATACTTTGTGTGTCAACTTATATTTTTGCCTGACTCTCCGGTGAAGGATATCAAAACTCCCGATATAAAACCAACTGAAAAACTGAATCCCAGAAACGACGGTAGAATGGATTGGCTTCAAATACAATGAGCGAAATTCCTAAAGTTAACCATAGAAATGACGATAGACTCGCCCCTGCCGCGTTCCATTCAAATACAACGAGCGAAATTCCAATCTCCGAAGATATGGATTCAAATATACCGAGCGAAATATGGGCATGTTAACCACAACATCAACACTTAACAATGCTTCTGATTACACCATCGTAGAAAAGAGTCCTGATGGTGTATTAAATAAAGCTAATTTTTAAATTACTTCATGATTGTACATATGTTTTTTATTCCAGAACGTTCTAGAGTTTGCGCTCCCGGCTCCCAATGGCTGAATGATTGCAATGGCAACTGCTGGTGTATAGACGGACAACCGAAATGTAGTAAACAATGCGATTCGTCTTTAGGTAAATTCATACTCAGTCTTTTTGTTAGACTAAAACTTGTCTGCGTGGGTACTGCGTGGTACTGCGTCAGTCTCGCCTATTTCAGCCGTCAAGCAGCTTGCTTGCAGTTTCGGTTGTAGGGTGGAGATTAGGCAGCGAAATATCAGAATACGGGGCATCTCATTCCTCTAGAATGAGTGGCATCACGGGTGTCACATGAAAATGTGATACCCGTACTTACCCTGAAAAAATCTTAAAATTACATAAAAAAATATAGAAAAGAAACCGAGTTAGTTATAATAATTACAAGCTTTATTATAAGACTAATAAGATTTATTTTCCAGATAGAAATAAGCATAAAGAGTTGGAACTACTGGATGGGGAGGAATGTGCTCCTGGTAGTTCATGGAACACAGAGTGCAATTCTTGTATCTGTTCACCGAAAGGGCAAGCGATGTGCACTCTGAACGCTTGTCAAAACGGTAAATATATTTTATTTCCTACAATTTCCTATTAAAATTACATTTAAAATAATTGCGAATAAAAAAGTGAAACCTTTCAGTGTAATTTTGTCTGTCTATTTGTTCATATTTTATTTTCCTTAACAAAAATATCAATCCGAACATTTATATTGAGTCCTTATGAACTTTTTCCGTCTGTCTTGGGAATTATCGATATTTGGACACATCGAGCTTAAGGATTTTATAACATCGACAAAAAAACAAAACAAAAACGGACCGTTGTAAAAGGAACCGTTGAGACAAAACAAGTATTAGAGGATTAAAAGAAAATAAGAACACTGATTGGCAATCGTTGTTTGTTGATATTTATCGTACATAGTTGTTTCGTTGTTGTTTTTTATACAATGCATTTTATCTATCCGTAATCGGTCTATCCCAGTTATATATTTCTAAAACTAGTGATATTAATTTTTAATTTTGAATAGTTTTAGACAGCTAGATATAATAATAGAAAATATGTTATTTTCAAAATACAGTAAAGAAAAGACACAAACAATGTATCCCTTCTGATCGATGACCCGATCAATTCAAACGGGGATTGAAATTGCAAAGACCTGAGCCGAGGTTCAAACCCCTAGCTGTAGTAGCGGAAGTTGGCCTTCAGCCTTGTTTGGAGTGCCACAGGTACTTGCGGCCTATCGTTCGGTGAAGCTTTAAAGGCCAGCTGCGGCCAAAAAATTAGAATAGTTCAAAAAATTTAAAAATATAGTTACCTAATAGTTCCAAAAAAACAAATATAGCTTATAGTTAATTAAGTTATATATCTATAATTACAATAAGGCGGACTTATAAGTATTATTGGACCACTAAAATAATATGTGTATAATTTTTATTTTGTTTGTATTAGGTTCCGAAATTAGTCTTAAAACTTAAAATAATTCTATTAACTTAATTTTTCTACTAAACATGAACTGTCCGAATACGGGAATTCGTAACCATTCCCGAGGATAAAGCTGTTGGTTCTATATTTGTAACTCTGAGTTCAGCTAATTTGTTTATGCAACAAAATCTTTAATAACTGAAGTAATAATTTCAATTTCAGAGCGCAAAACAAGATGTGCACCCGAAACATTTTGGAAGTATCAATGCAACAGTTGCTATTGTTATGAGGGTCGACCTTTATGCACTTTGTTGGCCTGCGAATCTCCTGAAGGTAAGCTTTATGAACTACTAACAGAATAGTATTATTTTCATATATACTCTTACATTATAATTATATACATTCTTTCTCACAATCACACACACCCACCAGTCACCTAGTCCAAGCTAAGCAAAGCTTGTATTATCGGTACTGTTAGAAATAGAAATAATCTTTGTTCAAATAAATTTAATACTCCAGAACAACGAGCATGAAACTTACGTGTATCTCTTTTTAATAAAATAGATAGAAATACTGTCTTTTGTAAATATATTCATAAGTTACTTAGAATTTTTTTTTTGTTTTTAAAATGTACATTCAGCCTCACGTACAAGCTGAAAACCAGTGTTTTGCTTCTTGAGTGATTGTCCACACTGAGCTATGAGCCATTTTATATTGTAATGGCACACACATGCAAGTTTACCCATATTGTATTGCATTGGTTTAAATAATCTGCATTGTATAGTATTTGTAATTAAACCTACATGTGTGTACTAAGATACAAATAAACATTCTTATCTATCTATCTATGTAAATCAAACAATCATGAATATAAACGTTTATATCGTACGAGGAATCCAACCACCGGCCATCGGAAGTAAGGCAGTATGTTAAACCGTAACCTAGTATTATCACTTTAGTGGCTTCATCACTAGAGTGCATTAAAGTCTGTGTAACAAGGGAAATTTCGAATTGTCTTTTGCATATACCATCTCTCTTCTCTCTCTCTAACTTATTAGTAAAATTGTGATGTTATTTAAAAAAAGGTTATAGATTGAAGAGTTTGTAAACGATAATAATGTTTTTGTAGAAAAAACGTAAAATTCATTGCGCTGGCAATATTATCTGCATTAAGAATGTGTGTGTATCGGTTTCTATATTGATTATTGCATGCCATTTACTTGTTATTGTGAGTTTTATTTTATATCACAACTATTAAAAAGAGCAACATACATGTAGTTTAGTTTAGTTAGTAGATATAATAATATGACTACTCAAAAAACTTGTATTGAGTTTATTTGAATAAAGATTATTTCTATTTTAATAGAATGGCAAATAAGCTAACAACTTCTTGGTGGTAACCGTATTTTTTTTAAGGAATGATGCATTGTCTTCATGATGTTTTACAGTAGCTACGTGTAGCTGACATCTAATTAAGAAGTAACGTTTTCTAATAATAGAATTATCTAAATATTTTATATTAATTATAATAGTATTTATTTCATAACTCTAATTCGAGGAAAGAGGATTGTTAGTAATGAGGACTGTTGATCCTATTGCTAGCAATGTATGTCGGGTTGACCTCCACGCGATTCCCCCTGGAAACCTTCATAATGAATATGTCACGATGAGCTAACTGACCTGACTTAATGCTCATCTTATTATCCTCCACTGGTGCCCCGCCAGCGTAAACCGTTATCGCAGGCGGGTGCACCATTCCATTGTCACCCATAAAAAAAAAACTAATTAATAATTTTCAATTATTTTTTTATGTCATCAGGTACAGTCAGTCAACAGACAGTGAAGCTAGTAGAAAGTAAGGAATGTGTACCGGGGACCACCTGGAAAACGGAATGCAACGAGTGCTCCTGCCAGCTGGACGGTTACCGTATCTGCACCAATTTTGATTGTGATAATGGTATGTCATTAAAATCATTTTAATACATATATTTTCATTAAATGTAGCTATTATCCGATACTTAGTCCACGTGGAATTAAGTTTTTTTTATAAATTAAACAATTCTATTGCAGATCCTGTTATATTTGAAGAAAGCACAACGAAAAGGAACGTAGAAGTGGTAAGTTGATTATATTTAATATTGGTTTTGTTTAATCATTGAATATCATGAAAGTTCATCCTCGTATCCTTAATCCTTAAGAACATTACGGCGTACTTATTAAGATTTCAACTTTTTCTACACATTAGAAAAATGGTGTTGGACGCACAATATCGGTTATAGTTACTCATCAGAACTGGCATCGGCACTTCAGTGAATCATATCCATTGCACTTGAGTGAATAGGCAAATTCAAAAATGAATCATATTCAAGTAAGAAGTCACAGTGGCGTGACTATACCTCTCCAGGCCCATGGCAAATTCATTGGATGCCCCCCCCTCCCTCTAATATAAAGAAGCCGAACAAATATTAATTTTATAATACTTATTTTCTTTCTAAAACTTGGTTAATTTTATCTACAACAAATGCATTGAAATTCCAATATATTTCTGAGCGATGCAAAACGCGGAGCGATCTTAGAAATCAAATTTGCAGTCTTTGCAACGATACTCCTCCGAAACGGCTTAACTGATCGAGACCAAAATTTCATCGAAGGTCGGCATTCAAGTCTCCATCGTTTCACTCAAAAAACTCCGATAGGTCAAGGTCGAGTTTTTAACAAACAGACCCGCTCCGCACAACCTGTACCTGGTGTGTAAACAGCACACCGGTAACAAACCTATTATAAGTACTTTTACTTGTTTAGACAATTTATTTTAGTAAATGTGTAATAATAAATGTTGGTACTTGGATTCTCCAGCTCATTTTGTCGACTTGGCACCCTGTAGTTACGCCACTGTGAATTCATGATTTAAAAAAGGAAAAAACAACAAAAATATCGTTGAGGTTATCTATAATATATAAAGCTGCATTACGGTCACTGACTGATTGACATAGTTGTTCTCCCAGAAGCAGTGCCGGGGGGTTGACGATTATATTTCGCTAGGGTGACCACGAGAAAATTCGAAAGTTGGGAAAATCCAAGATGGCGGACCCGGCTGAACTTTGTCAATTTCCGTCGGATCGATTTCGTTCAAGCGGTGGTTCGTAGCGGGCCGCAAACGGTTGCATGTCAGGTTAAAAGAAAAAAATAAAATCCAAGATGGCGGCGTGAAAATGAAAATGAAAATTGTAATTTTTCGAGGGTTTCAAAAACTGAAATTCCCAGGGTAGTTGCGAGGGTGCTGGCGACACCGGTTGTGGGGCATAGGAAAGTCGAAGGACCCCCTCTAGGGAAAATTATGAACTTTCTAACATCCAAGATGGCCGACGAGTAGGGGGCGTGTGAATTTGGTCCTAAAAATCCGGATTATTTTCAAAGTCATTTTTTAGGTAAAACCGCAGCGAGTCGGCTTTATGGGGCGATGATGGGTTGTAAGAAATAATTGCCAGCGCTAAAAAGAATTTACGAATTTGGGGTAATTTGGGAGAAATGGTCCAAAAAGTGGGAAAAATTTTTTCGACATTTTTGACAAAAATAGCATCAAGGCCTATCGAGAAAATTAAAGGGTTTTGATGGTTTTGTTGAAATTTTGCTGGCAACACCCATACATGGTTTGACCAAAATAGAAATTGGGGTGTCTCTCCAAAAACTGAAATTCCTTGGGTACTTGCGGGTATGCTACCGATCCCTTTTGTAGGGCATTGGGAGGCTGAAAGACCCGGCCTCTAGGGAAAATTATGAAATTTCAGAAATCCAAGATTTGGGAGATTAAGTTTTTGGAAAAAATTTGGGATATTTTCAATCGCGTTTTTGATGACATGGCAATCGAAGCTTGTCTCTTCCTACGGACTTGGATAACTCTAAGTAGGAAGGTGTATCAAGCCTAAAAAATTTCCCCGATTTTGGGTTAATTTTGGAAAAAAGTCCCAAAAAGTGGGAAAAATTTTTTTCGACATTTTAAATGAAGAAGCCTTGGTGATCTAACGAAAATCGTCCCCCGAAGGGGTTTAGGTGGATTTTATCGATATTTGCTGGCAACACCCATACAACATGGTACAAATTTTGAAATTGAGATGTAGCTTCAAAAACTGAAATTTACGAGTGTGCTAGCTCAACACACTGTGCGGCGTCGGATAGCCAAAGGACCCGGCCTCTAGGGAAAATTATGAAATTTTAGAAATATGGCGGCACAGATAGGGGAGTTTTGCTTTTCGGAGAAAATTTGGGACATTTTTAAATGTTGTTTTAGGACACATGGCAACAACGAGTCGACTTCTACGGAGAGATGATGTCTCTTGACACAAAGTATTACCTGGTATGAAAATTTTCCCCGATTTTGGGGTATTTTTTGAGACAGGTCCTAAAAAGTGGAAAAAATTTTTTTCGACATTTCAAACTAAAGAATGATGAAAATCTGTCAAAAGTCATCCCCGTTTAAGGATTTTTGGTGGTTTTTGTCAAAATTATCTGGCAACACCTCAGATCAGTTTTCTTAGGGAATAGTACAAGAAGAAGTCACCGAGGCTCTACATAATGTATGGACGAAATGTTTCTGTTACTAAGGTGAATACGTCAAAAGTATTAAGAAGTAAAAATCCAAAATGGCGGCAGAGATAGGGGAGTTTTGCTTTTCGGAGAAAATTTGGGATATTTTTAAATGTAGTTTTAGGACACTTGCCAACCCCACAGCCAGTCGACTTCTATGGAGAGATGATGTGTCTCAATACAAAGTATTACCTGGTATAAAAATTTTCCCCAATTTTAGGGTAATTTTTGAGATAAGTCCTAAAAAGTGGGACAATAATTTTCGGACATTTCAAACAAAAGAATGATGAAAATCTGTCAAAAACAATCCCCCTATTGATTTTAGGTGGTTTTTGTCAGAATTATCTGGCAACACCTTACATCAGTTTTCTTAGAGAATAGTGCTAGAAGGAGTCACTGAGGCTCTATACAATGTATGAACGAAATGTTTCTGTCACTAGGGTGAATACGTCAAAAGTATTAAAAAGTAAAAATCTAAGATGGCGGCCGAGTTAGGGTACTTAATTTATGTTGACATGGGACTTTTAAAAATTCAATTTTGGGGTACCACTAAACGTTTTTGACTTCATAGAGCAATGGAAATTCTCGGTGGGAAATATTACCTGGTCCAAAAAATTTTACGATTTTGGGGTAACGAAGAAAAGTAAAAAAACGTGGAATTTTTTTTCGTCAATTTGAACAAAACAGTGATAAGCATTGGTCCAAAATTATCCCTCAAATAGGTGGTTTTTGTCAAAATCTCCTGGCAACACCATACATCGATTTTCATAGTAAACCGTACTAAGGAACTCTTAGGTGTATGTAACCTGGGCTCTGTACAATATATGGATGAAATGTTTCTATCACCAGTGTATATGTTAAAAGTATTTAAAAATAAAAAATCCAAGATGGCGGCCGAATTAGGATACTTTATCTATGATGACAATTTTTTTTTAAAATATCTGTGGCATCATCCCTGCAACGAATTGACTTGTAAGGAATGGAAACTCTCGGTGCGAAGTATTAACTAATTTTCATAGTAAACAGTACTAAGGAACTACTGGAGTCACCTTAGCTCTGTACAATGTATGGACAAAATGTTTCAATCGCCAAAGTGGATAAGTTAAAAGTATTCAAAAAGGAAAAATCCAAGATGGCGGCCGAGTTCGAGTATTTTATCTCTGATGATAAATTTAGGAATACATTTTGGGGTACCTGGCTTCCCTGCAGCGAGTCGGCCTTTATTGAGCCATGGTAGATTTCGGTTTGAAATATTATCTAGGCTACAAATTTTCCCCGATTTTTAGGTAATTTTGCAAACCCAAAATGTGGGAATTTTTATTTTCGACATTCTAACATAAGAGTGACGGGGATCTATAATAAATCTCATCTTAATAGTTTCATGCGATTTTTTTGTAAAACGCAACACTAAGCATACATTTCTGTATACTAATACAGAAAGGTAGGTAATGTGAGGTTTTGTATTGTGACCATTGCAATAAAAATTAAAGCCACAGAATAATATAGTAAACAAAAAGGTAGGTTAGGTTAGGTTTCGTATTATGATCTCTACATTAAAAACTTTGACCCTAGACTAATATAGTATACAGAACGGTAGGTTAGGTTAGGTTTTGTATTGTGACCATTACAATACAAAGTTTCGCCGCAGGATGAAACAAAAATTCACTGTTACAATAGGAAGTGACCTAATCGTATCAAAACAGACAACTCTACTTGCCAACCAAGTCTATTCGAAAAGAAAACCGTCTGCACAAAAAAAATCAACGACAACGCCTCGCGGGCCTCTTGAGGCCCGCGCACACACGCACCCTCTAGTTAATATATAACAATACAAAGCTATGCCAATACTTTTTATTTCCAACTAACTTCATTAAGTACAGATATTTTTGATGTGAATAGAAACTTCATTCATATTTAGAACACAGTGAATTGATATGCACTACATTTTTGGTAAAATGGTTGCACTGTATCTCCTCCTGTACTCAGGTAAGTACTTATCCATTTATTATTTGAAATTTTTATTGATCATGGTAATTATTTACAATTTTGTATTACATATAAAACTTCAGGTAATTTTAAGTAATATCATTGTAACAAATAATTTTCCTAAAGAAATTAACAATAATATTAATAAATAGTTAAAAATTGACGCAGTAACTATTGATGAATTTGATAAAACATTAATTTTGCAGGTTAACGATAATGTAGATATAAACAGTAACAAAGTAAAGCGGTCGGCTTGTAAACCTAATCAGGAATGTACCACAGAGGGGCAAAATTTTGAGTGCACCCATGGAGAATGCCTCGAAAGAGACATGAATAAAGAAGTTGAAGTATTTGCCGAAAGTGGGGTAAGTATAGTTCCAATGCAGATACGTAAACCAATAAAATTGTATTGCTACATTTGCCTGAAATTTGGTCTACAACGAGAATGGGAATTATATCCACTGATTTCATCTTAGATAACTAAATACAATTAAAACTCATATACACTGCTTTTATGCAGAATATTTCCAACAAAATTAAGAAATCTATTTGGCTTCTAACTAAATTGGATCAGAAAATATTATTAAATGAATACTCTCGTTTAAGGGCGTGGATCACGTCGAAATCGAATACCTGTGCAAGCCTTACGCAGAGTTCAACAGAGGATGCAACCTCTGCAAATGCAACCAAGACGGGACAGACTACTTGTGCTCTGAACAAATTTGCTCCTGGCTTAAAGATGTCGAGCTATTTGAAAGTGACGCGATCTAGATCTCCGTCTTTGTTTCAGGAGAAGGAGCCGATTGAACTCAAGGACGAAAATAGGAGCGGCCATCAAAGTCCTAAATTGTAGATTAAAAACGAAACTGTCTAATAAATGGGATAAAGAATTGACAAATTTTACAAAAACAAGGGAATCGTATACTAATTTACACAATTATATATTAACGTATGATTGTAGATGCTGTAATATATTATATTGATTATTGCAATTGTTCCTTTATTAATACATGTATAATAATTTCTTTTCATTACATAATTCCTTATGTATTCATTAAATAGATTATTTAAACCTCTGTTGTTTTTATTAATATATCTTAACATGGAAATAATGAAGATGTGTTGGAATTAAGTATAGTTGACTGTAGTCCTGAGAGTACAGTCAACTGTTAATACCTTTATAGTATTGTTAATTCAATAAATTGTTTGTAATTTAACGTAATTTGTTACTATTTGAGTGAATTTTATGAATATATTATAGACGACAAAGTCGAGCCAGAACAAGACAGTCGTGTGCGTGGCGAACCGCATGTTTTTCAAGGACTGTAACACTTGCTGGTGTAATGACGATGGCACTAGTTTCTTCTGTACTAGAAAAGTGTGTGTCCCTGAATTACCTGAAGAAGCAGACATTTCAAATCAAAAACCTGAGGTGAAGTTTCTAGAAAATTATATATAGGTGACAGTGGCTTTAGCTTCAGCTTTTATGATTCGAAAAAAGAAATTCAATATTGAAACAATTCCCTGTTTTATTTGCTGTAAATCAGTATTAATGATGGTTTTAATTTGGTTAATTCTTTAAAATGACTATAACATTTCCTTGCTTCAATGTCCATTTCTATTTTCAAATTAATTCTTTACAATATCCACCAGTAGAATAAATAATTTTCAACAAAATATTTGAGATGAGATGTCTATCTTATTTGCTATGCATACTTGTACTACCTAAAATAAAATAGGTTGAATTTGAAAAATAATATTTAGCTTACAAGCAGGAACTGCGCATAATAAAGCGTGAATGTCGTCCAAATGAAGTATTCGAATTAGATTGCAACATGTGTCGATGCAATCCTGATGGCAAGTCATTTTCTTGTACCAGGCGTGCTTGTGCGGAACAAGCTGACGATGCTCAGGTGTGATGTGATTTAAAATATCTATACCGGTGGTTTTGGGTCTTTATTTCTTATCTGATACAGTATTTCTGGTATTAATTGTCTCTTAGGTTTAACAACTGTGTTACCATATTCCTAAAATGTATCTTCCTTTTTATACTAATATTTTTATAACTATGCACGGGACTTTAATGATCATACTAAGGTTTCGTCTTTTATGACGATTGTTTTGACTTCATCTGGAAGTCTTCTTCAGGGTAACTACAATACATTCGTTACAATGAAGAATACGGAACATTAAGATGAAGTAGAAACATTTGTCGCGACAGTAGAAAATATAGTAAGTTTGTTAAATCCACGTACTGTACTGTACATTATAGTATGATTTGATTGTATTTCTTGAGTTGTAATTTTTCCCTTTTTCTTCATTCATTGGTCTTGGTTCAACAGTCATTGGGCTTTAATAGTCTAAACATTATATTTTTGGCCTTTTCCTAATTTGTCTTATCCTCTTTTTAGACTTATTAATAAGGTGAAAGGTTTAACATTATTTAAGTCTCTAATTATATTATTAAATTCTTGTACAAAATCTTCGCAAACGGATTTCTTGTAATGTAATGTTTATAATTTAAGGCCTTATTGTTAATTAAATAATTGGTTACTTTTCTGATGTAAGAAATACTAATATTATTACTTTTCTTTGTAGAATTCCACATCAACTAGAAGAGTACGAGGATATTCACAGGTATTGCATTATTTGTAATATTAACAATTTTATTTACATGAAATACGATATCGAATAATTAACGTTAATTTATATTACAGAATTCCGTATTAATAAGAAAAGTTCGAGCTTACTCACAGGTAAATTATTACATCAATATTTTAATAATAAAAGAGAACTAGTATCTTCTATTAGATGATACAATTTGTGCATGTGGAGATGATCTAGTACCAATTTACAGAGTCACTCTAGCATTCACAGCACATTCGTCAAAAATTCTGTTTATAGATTTATCGACCCTTACACTATGGTAAAATTTGTACTGTTACAAATTTTATTATAGCATAAATTATAGAAAGAGAGAGAGAGATATTTTGTATATCTTTCCTTTTTCTGCTATCCAGTAATTTGTAATCTATGGTCTATTTCGGAGGCAATGAAACTACAGAGACATTTTCATACTTGTTCGGAGGCATTTTCTACACAGAAATGATTCGAGGGCGACACTTACGATTAATATCCGTAGAGATGGCGCCGTGTAGAGGCAAAAATAGGACATATTGCTTCCAATGCAAAACAATAAAAAAAAAGAAATTACTGTTGAAAATAAGAAAGATGTAACGCATATTGTGTTTAGTAGGAGCCAACGAAGGCATGCCAGCCGGGCTCCGAGTTTCGGATGGACTGCAACAAATGCCTGTGTGACAACGAGGGACAACAATTCTCCTGTACAAGAATAGATTGTACCGCACTTAATAATAATAACAATAATAACGGAGAGCTGCGAACGAAAAGAGGTTAGTTCAATATTCTTTGGTTTATTATTATTAGTTCTACCAAATCTCTATGGAATTCTGACCGAATGGTAAACAGTTTTTTAATTATTCTGATATATAAGCTATATTACTGTAAAATTTCATCTCAATCTGTTCAGTAGTGTTTGCAGAACAGTTTAGTAGTTTGAAAGAGTAACAAACATTCTATTAACGTTTCGTATTGGTGTTTCTCACAAATACCTACATACAGCGTGCCTACTGCACCCCACTACGGCAGTGCGTTTGTAATCGTCCCACCAACCAGTCATTACTATTGTATATTTTTTATTAGCTCAATAACGAATAATTTAAATAGATATAGGAGTTTTATTTAAAATACGAGCAAAGGTAGCATGTAACTGCCCACATCCAATTATTCATCCATACTCACACACTTGATGTGTGTGAGTATACATACATACGTTTATAATATTAGTAAGATTATTATTATAGGCTACTTTTAATTTTGGGTAACAAATTATAGACCAGAAGAAGTTGTATGTGGCAATTAGGACTATATGAATGTATGTTTTCTATTCGGCAGATACAACAGAAAAAATTGCGTCCAACTGTACATCGGGCACTGTGTTCGAAAAAGACTGCAACGTGTGTCGGTGTAGTGGTAAAGGCGAAGCACTATGCACCACCAATAAGTGCAACAAAGATCGCAACGTCGAAGTCACAAGCACTGTTCCAGAGACAGGTAATTATTTTTATGTTACCTCCGACCTGGGACACCACCTTACTTCCGATGATCGCGGGTTTGATTCCTCGCACGGCACAAACATTTACGTCATTTAAGACCTAGGTCTTCCCCTCTTTACTTCTATTTTTTTTCGTATCAAGTGCCCCTACATCCCCCTTCCCCCCCCCTATTCTCAATAATATTTATGATCTGTAAAGAAAAGTCTTTAACCCTTTGCAGTACTTCTTCATTTCTTTGAGATTGGAGTGCCTTCTACACTCGACTCCTATCGTTCGGTGAAACTGTAAAGGCCAGTAGCGGCCACAAGCATTAGAATAGTTCAATATAACTAATTGGGAGATATTCCTTACCTACTTACTATATACTAATGTTTATAAAAAAAATTAAAAATATATATACATATATAAACTTCTGTAAACATTTACTCATGCCGTTGCAACAAGTAATTAAGTCAACACTATATACCTGAACTTTTTGCAAGTGATAATAATTGTAACCTCATAGTGTATGTCTTGTTGGTTGGTCGCTCAAATAAATAAATAAATACTAGCCCTTTTGTAGACGTATATATATCTTAAAATAGTTGTTTCTTAATGTTACAGAAGTCGACTCCGGTTTCCGTTGTAATCCTGGCGAGCAGTTCAACTTTGAATGTAACGATTGTACATGCTCCGCAGACGGCAAAAGTGTATTTTGCACTCTCCGCTTTTGCGATCAAAGTCTAAATCCGGATATCTAATTTCTTATCCAACCACCTTGAGAGCTTCACTGTGACGATTATGTATAATCGATTTAATTCTTAATCGATCATTCACTACACTACATAAATAATGCAATTCCCAGCACTACATACAATGGTTCTATTTAATCACAATCATGTTTATTATTCAGATAATTATGGAATGTGATTACACATTGAAAGTTCGTGTAATCGAATAAAATTAATTATTGTAACTCTTTTTGTAGCACTATTGTCTTTTGTTTTTGCTTTTTTTGTATCCATTTATGAATTCATCCAATTTATATCCATCATAGATTTTATTATTACTACAGGATCGTCGATAGGCTCTTGTACTTTTTACTGTTAGGGTTATGTATTGGATTTAGTATTTTGTTATTAAATATTAATAAAATAAAACATTCACTCATTCATCGTCTCAAGGTGGTAACAGTAGCAATTAAAATACTTTCCGTCTCACACAGTTACTTAAATCTATGTAACTTTAGTTTCTGACTAAAAACATTCATAAAACTAATATTACTCTTGATCATCTTTAGTATCGTTATGTTTAGTTTCTATTAAGTATTTGTGATTATTTTTTATTTAGCTAGTAATTAGATTATAATGATTAATAATTGATGTAAGTATAAAGCATAATGTAATAAACAATGATTGAAGATAAATTTATATATTTAAAATAAAGGAAATGAGACCAAATGTTTCAATTGCCGTACATGAATTCTATAAATATTAATTTGTTACAGAATTTTATAACCTAATTTTTTATATTTCAAACATTATAATACAATTAAATATTCCTCTGACAGACGTAAATTAAAAAAAATGTGCTCATTAGTTATTGTCGCCACAAGCCAAATATGTTGTCTATATTTGGTAATTGTATATTTTTTATATTAGATATATAAATTTACCTTCGTTCATAGCAAAACTAGTGAGGTAACGGAACATTGTGCTTTTTTAAATCAATGATTTAGGTAGAATTAGATTCGTATTTGAATGATGTGTTTAGTTTACTATATTTGTGTGTAATTGTGCATGTTTAAGGTAAATACGACTATAAATATAATTCATTCAATATCGACTTTTAAATTTAAAAAACATTTTTAATAATACCCGCCGTATTCAATGTGACGTCATTTAATTTTTCTTTTTGTTCCAAACAAACTCTTCCATTTGATAAGCATATCATGGATAAAAAATAACTGGTAAGCCATCAGGTTTTCTCCGCCATATTGAATTTAGAATGACGTCACATAACCAACATTACATTGTCATTTAAGTATATGAAGCTTCAACACAATCTGGCGAGTACGACTGTGTGAAAATTTTATAGTCTTTAAATAATTATTACTATCATACTTTCAACTCATTTATTAGCTATTTTTGTAGACGTTGAAGTATTCTAAATATGGATTCTTTAATTGTTCAATATGTCAGATATCAGAATATTTAATTCTAAATTTAAATTCACCCAAATGTAACTTTTAATGGATATAAATAGTTATTAATAATTCCTGGTCGATAACTTGTCATTAATAAAAAAATAAAAATTATTGTTTCAAAATAGAGCTTTTAAAGTTAATTAAATCGTTAATGAAATATTGATATAAAATCAATGTCGATTAAACGCGAATTTTCATACGTATCATAAAAATAAGTCGATTGAGTGTGATGTTAGAATTTTGTACGTGATTCTTTTTAGTTAATTAGTGAATTCTTTATTTTTAAGTGGTTTAACTGTATTTTTGTACCTTCGTGTACTTTTGTATTAGACAATACGTAAATACGTTATAAAATTAAAATAATTGTGAGATGAATAAAGAATTTTGAATGTCATAATTGCATTATTTATGAAGAACAATTATTTACTAGAATTTCCAATATTTAGCACTGGCCCGCATAAGGATTTGAGAACGAAGCCTAAATTTAATTCCTTTTTCCATCTCCTCTTCTCTGTAGACATCGTCGGGACTTGCTTATAAATTTTATTATATAATATATCATAAATAAATCTTTCTATATTTATCATAAATATAGAAATTTATAAACAAGCCTCGAATTGAAAAATACTCTAATAAATTGTAACTAAGAACCTTCTCGATCACGACAAGTTTCAAACAAAAAACACATGTTCGGTCATTTTGTTTTACCAATTTGGTGTTAAAGAAGTCATACGTATGGCAACTGTTCTAAAATTACCAGTAACGATTACAACTTAATTAGCATTAATAAGGTGCATTTAATATCATCCTATAAATTTTTTATTGCTGGCGATATTATCGAAACATTGAAAAAAATCACTAGTTTATTCAGCAGGCAAGAAAGCAGCTCGAGATCATGTTTAAGTTCTTTTTTATTTCTATTCTTCTTTGGTTGACGCACGTTCAATGTTTGTCTTGTAAGTATTAAATTTACGACCCTGTTAATAATATAAATAATATTTATCCGTTTCAAAACTGATAAACGATTTATGATTTGTATTCTTATTTGGTTATCAAAATTATATACTACTAAGTAATTGGGTACACAAAATAATTAAATTACTTATTATTCTTAGGATTAATGTACTGAAATAGTACAATCTATTGGTCGTAGCGTAACGTCATATCGCTTAAAGACTTCCTCGACAAATGAACAATCCAACACAAAAAGATCTCTGTAATTCGAACTAGCAGTTCTTGAAATAAGTGCGCGCAAACAAACAAACATACTCTTCAGTTTTATATTGTTAGTATAACTATAATAGAATAGAATAGAAAATCATTTATTCAAATAAACTTAATTTAAGCACTTTTGAATAGTCAACATTTTTTTAAATCTACCGCTTATTCGGAAAGCTGTCTCATCACAAGAAGAATAAGCAAGAAACTTGTGTGTTGCTCTTTTGAAAAATCCTTGTAAGTTCACATTTTACAAGTCGAAACGTGTGAATACAAACTACCACCCAGCACTAATTTATTTAGGCTCAAATATAAAAACACTTCTCTTGTCTCTTTTTGGGCAAGACTCGTGCATTTGCCAGTCTTGCTACTAGGCTAATCCGACACATACACAATAAATTTGCTCGTGCATTTGCCAGTCTTGCTACTAGGCTAATCCGACACATACACAATAAATTTGATAGTATGCATAGATTGTATTTACTGTGGTTAATACTATGATACCAGTGGAACCTACAAAGGCATGTGTCCCTACCTCTACTGTACACGGACCCTGCCATACATGTGTTTGTAACATTGACGGTGTGTACTACTGCAGGGCAGACAAATGCAAGAATGAATCAGGTAAATTTTATTCATAATAATATTCAAATAAAAGCTAATTTTAATAATTAGGATAGTGGCAGGACTAATGGAATAGAGTGGCTCAAGAAAGATGAGAATGGAAACGATTGCAGAAATTGATAAAGATCCAAATACTATATAACATTTTATTTCGTTTGTAAAATTTTATTTGTTTTAAAATTACGTATAAGTTGATCTGAATGAAGGCTATAATAATTATTATTCAAATAAAAGCAAAAGAAAATCTTGGACGTTCTTCATAAAATACAAATTTTTAGGAAATTCATGACTGTTAAAGTTGACGATGCAAAATAAAATCGATAGACTATATAATTATAATCTCATCGACTAAATTGAACCTTTAATCATAAATGATGGCTCAATTTATTGTCTTGTTCTACCATCATACTTAATAATGGGGACAGGTAATTAGGTTATCTTCTTAGGGGACTTGTTCACCCAGTGCTACATTCATAACCGGTTCCATCTGGTTAATTCCTGAGAATATCGCCACGATAGGCTAATTGACCTACATGCTCGATCTATTATTTTTCACTAGTCATCATAAATTGTTAGCACAAGTCAAACAAAATACAATAATATTGGTTAGTTTTGGGGTTGCAAATTAATTATGAACATGTAAAAGAAGATAAGTTAATTTCTCCATATGAGGCAAAGCGTATTCATAATAAAGAGTAATTTGAAGACGCAAAACTTATATAAACATTTCTTACAGAATACAAAACATTGCAAAGGAGAGAATGTGAATCAAACTTGATGTATACAGAAGATATGTTACTCTGCACATGTAACGATGAAGGATACTGGACATCAACCAACTGTCGAAGTAAATTACGTTATCTGCAACCTAAAAGAACTCACATTACACACAACCTACGATCTAATATTGAATGTATCCCAAACATGTTGTATTTAATGGATTGCAACATTTGCCGATGTCCATCAAATGGCTTCATCGAATTGAATTCATGCACCAACCGACAATGTACGAAGGCAACAAAGCAAATATATGTAAATATGGTGACATACTAAGAACTGACCGTGAGTTATGTTCTTGCAGTGAAATCAATTATTATATAGACCGTCTTTGCATCAAAGTTACTAATCAAACTATATTACATATGATCAACAGAAGTGATATAGGACAACTGATAGATATAGGAAAAAAATGGCAAAGGACTGGAGATAATATTTCTTCAAATACTTGCAGCATAAATTCTGTATACGCCATGGATTGCAATCGATGCATATGTAAGAATGGAGAGGCACTTGCGTGTACAAATAGAAAATGTACGCAGCCTAACAATAAAAATGCTTTAAGATCTTCCAGAAGTCTTCAGGATTTTAATTCTTTGCCCGAATTACGAAGTGAGAACGATAATTGTAAACCAGGCCAGAAATACAGACTACAGTGCAACACTTGTATATGTTCTATGAAGGGAATAGCATCTTGTACGACGATGATGTGCTTGGAAAACTTCGTATTAGATTCCAAAGCAGTTGAGTCTATGATGCTAAGAGGTCATAAAATGTTTTCTTGATTTGCTGATGCGTAGTTGAAAGTAAAAGAGTAAAAAGAACATTGTGTTTTAATTCCCCAACAGAAACATTATCTAATATATAAAATTCTCGTGTCACAGGTTTCGTGTTTATACTCCTCCGAAACGGCTTGACCGATTTTGATGAAATTTTATATATATATTCAGTAGGTCTGAGACTAGGATTATAACGAATTTTTATACCCCTAAGTATTAAGGATAGCTCACGCCATAAAAATGTTTTAATTCTTCGACACAATTTTTTATTTTTATGTTTTCTATGTCTCATTAAAAAATACATACAACCCTAAATTATCACCCTTCTGTCACCAATTCCTATTTTTTTAATAGCGATATTAATTTATATGGCAAAAGAACGTTTGCTGGGTCGGCTAGTCTATCTTATAAAATTGTACTTAATGATTATTGTAACGAATTTTTTAAGTAGTTAATACTTGTAAAGACACATTGGCATGTAATAATTATTTAAAAAATACACCCACTGTGATATATATGATATGCATTCATTTGCATTATACAGACTGAACTATCTGGAGCGGAGACAAAGGCTTCAGATGCTAGCGGTACCTCGCCGCAGAACTAATTTGCTAAACAAAGCAAATAAATAAATTATAGTAAAAGAACATTGGTCATTGAAATAATATATTAAAGATACCGTTCGCTCCTATTTTAGCAAATGAAAGCCACTGGAATAATCACAACAGCGATCTACCACGCATACGAAATGGAGAATCCTGCATCCCTGGAAAGATATATCGCTTGGACTGCAATACATGTCGATGCGGTGAACAAAATTCCCTTCTTTGCACTAAAATGGCCTGTCTAACTGAAGAAGATTTGAACGTGATATTTCACGAAAGGAAACCAAAAGGTGTACAGGAACCGAAAGATGTAATCAATTTGAGAACGCGAATGACTGATATAAAGTATCCGGATATACCTTCAGCGAAATGTATACCGGGCAAATTGTATAAGAAGGGATGCAAAAAATGTTTCTGTAATGAGAAGGGTATTGTCAGTTGCACGAAGAATGTAAACTGTTATGACAGACGTAAGTTGATGTCTTTGATATTTTTAATTACTTATTTTTGACTCCTCGTACGGAACAAATATTTGTATTCATGAGTATGATTGTTTGTATCGGTCTGGGTGTTTTCTATTTATGTTATTTATGTATTTACAAAAAAGAGATATATATTTGTATCAGTTATTTAGTACCCATAATACAAGCTTTAGCTAGCTTAACTTGCGTCTAGATGGCACTGTGTTAATTGTCCTGAAATAATTTACGTCTACCTTGGTTAAATATAATCTGTAATAAAATATGGTCTGTATAAAAAGTCTGTGTTGAAACTCGTACTTTTGTCGCATCTATTTCATCCGCGAAGTAGGTCACTTCGTAAGCTGTTTAGGTTGAAGTGTGAGATATGTTTCTGTAGTATAGTTGTACAGATTATTATTTTGTTTGGCAGAATTTTAAGAGATTAGATCTGAGTATATGTTTACAAAAAGTGGTGCCAGCGACTTCGTAAATCTATACAACGCTATGTCTTGTATCTTTATATACTATACTATGTTATCAAAACAAAGACGCTCCCGCTTTTCGTTCCTTTATACCTTTTAAATTACGGAATGAATTTTAACACAGGTTTCAGCAATAAATTAAGTGATTCAAGACGAAGGTTTATATCTTTACATGCGTGTTATAGTACAAGATGAGAAATTCAAAGATTGATAATGCCTCCGCGTTAAGTTGGGACGGGTTATTAATAAATTAAACAATACAATTATAGATGAGATAATAAAATGATTCACAAATTGTACTATTCTCCTCTTTAAGAAATATTTTTCTCAGAATTTTTCATTTAACCTACATGTCTGTGCTTAACCTATATACTCGGTCTATGTTAAACCTTTCCTAATTCCTCCAGCTATTTTAGTTTAAACAGTAGGTTTTATTAGGTATCTGTAAAGATTCTTATGACATCATAGGACCTGTCAAAATATTATCGTCTAGTCTAAAGATAGTGATGAAAATAATGTATAACTTTGTTATGGATGTGCTATGGTGCACCCGCCTGCGCTAACGGCTATGCTGGCGGGACACCAATGGAGGATGATAAGATGAGCATGCAATTAGGTCAGTTAGTCCACCGTGGTAAATTCACAATGAATTCATCACGATGATTTCCAGGGGGACCACGTGGAGGTCAATCTGACAACATGTCAGGTTGACAGGACTAATAACCCCATTGCTAGCAATGTACCAACTTTGATAACAATGGGGTTATTCCACATTACTAACAATCCCTTCTCTCCAACCCATAACATTGTCTTATGCACTTATAGGTAGTATTGTAATGCTCACACCAAACGATGTCCGTCCTCGTTTCAAAGAGGAAGACCTGAACTCTTTAGAAATGTTGCCAAATGCAGCAACAAAATGCGAGCCTGGTAAAGCGTACAAAGTAGACTGTAACACATGCCTCTGTTTGGTCAATAAGAACTTACTGTGCTCTAAAGTACTGTGCTTAAGTCTTGACGATATGCATAGAGTTGATGCTAATAAACGTACAGGTAAGTATAATTTTTACCTAGTAATATTAACGTCGACCAGTGGCCGAAATTCGACTATAATTAATTTAACAATAAATAATTGTAAAGACAAACAATATTACTCTATTCTCAATTTGATCACAGACTTTAACAATAAATTAAATAATATATTTGCGTGATTAATTCAAATACTACATGTATTTGAAACATATGTATTTTTTATGTATAATTTTAAAATAATATTAGCATTCTGCACTCTTTCTCTATATAAATGATACGTGTGCGAAATTCCATACTTCTCCGACAACGCAATTTTTGTAAGAAGGAGTTCAAAATTTTTTTTTAAAAAAAAAGGAGCCTAAGTTACTCCTTATTACATCAGCTACCTGCCAAAAAAAGTCTTGTCAAAATCGGTCCACCCATTTCAGAGATTAGCCGGAACAAACAGAGAGACAGACAAAAATTGTAAAAAATGTTATTTTTGTCCGTATTTATATTCGTATGCATATAGTAAAAAACGGATATTTCAATATTACAAACGGACACTTCAATTTTATTTATATGTATAGATGTACAGATAAATAATGTGTCTATATATCTAGGTAAACCTTGCAATAGAGACGAGTACACAACAGATATAGAATGCCTTCTTTGTTCTTGTGTAAAGGGAGTTACTCAATGCAAGGCAATAGCAGGATGTAAGGAAGAATTAACCGCCCTGAGACTACTGCACGGGGAGTATAACAAATGGAAACCTAGATTAACACTCAGTTTAAAGGAAGACAAATGTCTAGCACAGACTATATACAAGTAACTACATTTCTTTTATCTATATACATTTAGTTTTCTTTTTATGACATTAAAACATAGAATTTGCGATCATTCTTACTAATATTATAAATGCGAAAATAACTCTGTCTGTTACGTTTAGTTATACGTCCGTAGATATACATATATATATCTATAAAATTAATAATAATAGGCTAATTATATGATACTAAGTATACCTAAAAATTTAAGATCAGTATGCCCTAAACTACGTAAGATCACTGTATCCTCTTCTTTAATAAAAAAATGTATGCAAATAGAGTAGTGCAAATCCTGGAAATTAACATCCGGGCCAATGTAGTAAGCTGCTTGGCGGCTGTATAGGGAACTAAGATTACTCACCGCATACGACTTTTTACAGAATCCGTCTAAGTATGTATATTGGATAGATGTGGGTCGACAATTCACACGTGACACCCCTGGTGTTTCAGGCGTCCATAACCGGTAATCATTTACCAGCTGATTGACCGTTTGCAGGTTTGCCACTATCGTAGTAAAAAAATAGACCAGACTCTGTATACTTTATTTCAGAGATGATTGCAATAAATGTTATTGCCAAGACGACGGTACATTACGGTGCACACAAAAAACCTGCTTGAACTATGTACAGACGCTACAATTGAAGAAACATCGACTGTATCTGCAGAAATATGGACTTTAATGCTAAGTGCATTAAAGACTATGTTAGATTATATAATTATAACATTTCATTGTCAGGATAATAATACAACGAAATAGCGGATGTAAATAAATAATTGAATGTATTTTTATAGTGTGTAACCTATCACCGACCGTCAGAACGTAATTAATAAATAAATAATTGTTAATATTGACTGTAATTTCATCATCGTGTTTCGTTCTCTTCCACTAAGAATTGCTAGACTTTCTCGGTCTCGATCTAGGATCTCGATCCCGATTTTTTTTGTTCATACAAAACGACTACCTTTTAGTATTATCCTAGCACCCCGTATCTGTATCAGGGCTGTTAAGGAGCTGCGTAACCGTAATTGAAGCTATCGGATATCCGGTATAAAAAAATATTCGTAACCGTAACCGAATTCGAAATTAATGTCTCGGATAATATCGGATAGGGGCGGAGCCTAATTAAGACACGTTATGTAAACATTTTATTGGATATTTGTGATTTTCTTTTGACATTCCTTAAAAAAATAATATCCGTAACCGATATTATCCGAAACTAACGGATAATCCGAAATAATTTCATATACACATCCGTATCCGTATCCGATACAATAATAATTCCTATATACGAAACCTATCCGTATCCGAAATTTCATATCCATAACGTCCCTAATCTGTATGTATAACTCGAATTCAAAACACTTTCATATTGCTCTACTATCATTAGCATTTTCTATTTCATTCATTGCTTACCTATAACAAGAAATCGACTGTCGAGTATGAACTGTCTTCAGGATTTTAAGTATCGTAGTTAGTACTTAGATAATTTTTTTAGGTTTGCTTAGGTTCTTTACAGATCAGAGCCAGGGTGGGGCAAGCTTATCACCCTGCCCCACCGTGGTTTCGTCCATGTCTCTATAGGTTCTAGGTTCACTACGTGTAGGTGAAGAGCGGTGTTGAATAATGAGATGCTAGAGTACTCTCTTATAAAGTTCTTGCTCATAATACACCTTAGGTGGTCTAGCGGTTTAGCACATTGCTTTACTTCCGATGGTCGCGGGTTCGATTCCTTGCACGATGCAAAAATTCAATCTGAGTGTTTTTTATGTATCTTAGTTTTTAGATATTTTTTTTTGTATGCATTTACAAAAAAAAATATCTAAGTACTTGTCTAGTACCCATAACACAAGATCTGCTTTCCGAGAGACTAGATGTCGCTGTGTTAATTGTCTACGGTGATTTATAATTTATCTATTCTTTGACAAAACTGTATAAATGTGTATATTTACTACAGACATATGTATTTCATAAAAATCGCTTTCAAATTATAATCTCAATAAGCAATTAATTTCTTACGGTAATTCCAATCACAGTATGAAATTAAAAACTGCACATGGGAATTAGAACTTTATTGACTTACATGTTCATTATCCATGAAATTAAGTTCCATAATTTTGAAAACATCAAACAATATTTTATTTCAACAATTGGAAAATGCTAATGATAGTAGCATTTCTAATTTTATCATTACATTTTTCATCTTCATTTTCAATTCGTAAGTCTATATTATCATATTCCTATAGTTGAATTCATTTTGAATTTTCACTATTATGCTTTCTTGTAGGTACGTGTGTTCCCAATACAAAATTTATTATGAATGAGCAATTGTGCGTATGCGATAACATTGGTCACTGGAATGAGGCAAATTGCCATAGAATTAGCCGCCGATACAAGTGCCAATCAGGTCAAATTATATGGAAAGATTGTAACCAATGCATCTGTCAAGAAGACGGCCAGTTATCGTGCACGGTCTCCACTTGTCTTGATGACGCAACTACCGCTAAAAGTGTATCTTTGATTCTTCGCGAAAAGTTGTCAACTGTTAGCCCTTGGTGTACTCCATTCAAATCATATTACATCAACTGTAGTATATGCGTCTGTCCCGCATCAGGCTGGACTTCTGAAGCCACTTGTGCTCTAGACTCATCTTGCCAAAAATTGCCATCTGATTTTATCACTGATAAGAGGTTATGCATACCTAATGTAATGTACTTGTTTCCTTGTTTTCACTGTTTATGTTCGGAAGACAGATATTTTGTACCTGATAAGTGTGTAGAAACTTGTGCATTACAAATTGAATCACCTAGGAGATGTCTCTCAAGAACTTTTTATAGAAAGAACTGTAACGTCTGCTGGTGTCCTGATGACAGTATACCTGATGAGAAACATTGCACTAATGTTGTTTGTAATAAAGAATCGAAATTTAAATTTCTAGATAACCTCAGAAAGGGATCGACCAAGTGTGTACCACATACTTTCACGAAACCAAAATGCTACTACTGTGATTGTAACGCTAACGGAAACATCAATGAAAATGCGTGTCTCGAATTAGATTGTTTGAAAAGCAACAAATTCAAATATGATGTAACAAAAACAACATGTAGTCCTGGAGAAATGGTACCTATTTGTATAGAATGCTTTTGTTTAAGAAACGGACAAACAAGCAATAAATACTGCTCTAGAATGTGCTCATATATTAGTAAACTGAACGTGTTACAAAAAGTTTTAAAAGATAATGCAAAAAATAACAGCCTGATTGATAGAGATGCTATTAAAAATACTATAGTTAATGATATTTGTGAAACAAACACAGTGTATTTAGATCAAGGTAGATATTGTATATGTCCAAAAAGCGGTAACACTCATTTCAAACTTTGCACATCTATGACCGAAGACAAAGTATATAGAACCAGATCAGCTATGATAAAGAGCTATAACATTATAAACGAACAATACAATCAAACTTGTGACCCTAACACATTTGTTGATATTGACTGTAATACCTGCTACTGTTCAAAGAACGGAACTATTGATCTTAAATGGTGTACCTACGATGATTGCGATGCTAAAAGAACTGTCCAAAATAATATTAAAAAATCTTTACCACCAATAACTGTTTCAGAAGTTAGTGATACATGCACTCCTGGATCTATATCTAAAATCGATTGCAATTTTTGTATATGTCCTGATACAGGTAGTTTTAATGACAGAGTATGTACAAAAAACGCTTGCAAAGATTTAGATGAGTCAGCAAACAACGATTTCTTAATCTGTGATCCATTGCAGTACTATATTGTAGATTGTAATACATGTATATGTCCTCAAGATGGTTTTAAAAACGTAGCTCGATGTACAAAAAATGTTTGTGAAAAGAATTTTCTCAGATCAGAAAATTGTGTTTCTGGTCAACTTTTCAGTGACGACTGTAATGTCTGCGTTTGTCCGCCCAATGGTAATAAGGCTGATAGAGTATGTACTAATTATACATGCTCTGATGCAGGTACTCCTTGGAAGGAGATATTTACGCTATCCAAAAGTTTGTTGAGTATACATGATTTTGATTATAGCACAAGAAAACTAGATATGTGCTTTCCCGGTGAAGAATTCGTGGTTGATTGCAAAGTTTGCGTTTGCCCAGATATGGGTCTAAGAGTTTATGCTTCTTGCACTCAACTTTTATGTAACGATACTTCCAATATTGACAAAAAATATGTAAGTATAATATAATCTATACATATAAATAAAATTGGAGTGTCTGTTTGTAATATTGAAATAATCGTATTTTAATACATGCATATGAATATAAATACATACACCAAAATAACATTTTTTACAATTTTTGTCTGTCTGTCTGTTTGTTCCGGCTAATTTCTGAAATGGCTGGACCGATTTTGAGGGAACTATTTTTGGCAGGTAGCTGACGTAATAAGGTGTCACTTAGGCTACTTTTATTTTAGAAAAATATAGTTAAATTCCACGCGGACGAAGTCGCATGTACAGCTAGTATAAAATATAATAAGGAAATGACAAAGTGGAACTTTATTCAGATAATGACAAAGAACACGAAAAGAAGAAATAGTATTATTATTACATAGTCATATTATACTATAGTCATCTTATGATATCCCGATGACAGGACTGCTGTTTATGTGTGTATAGAGTCGATTGTTACCGTCTATCGTTAGGTGGGAATTCAGTTTGTTCGCCAATTATAATGTAAAAAAACTGTTAAAAAACTTTTATGGTATCTTTAGTAAACTACATTGTCGCATCTTTTCTGGTTCCCTCTATCTTGTTAAAAGATTATCATGTTAATGTATTACCTCCTACTATTGTTATATATGAATTTTAAACAACGCTAATCGTATTAAAATCATTATAGAATCAAGATCCTTTAACCTCTACAAACTGGGGGGAAAGGAGATTGATTGTTAGTAAAGTGGACTCATGACCCCATTACTAGTAATGTACAGGTGTATAGTAAATATACAGGGAAGCGAATTAGTAATGTGGACTAAAAACCCTATTGCTACCATGTCAGGTTGACCTCCACGCGGTTCCCCCTGGAAACCATCGTGATAAGTTCGTGGTGAGGTTGTCACGATGGGCTAACTAACCTGACCTCATGTTCATCTTATCATCCCCCACTGGTGCCCCGCCAGCGTAAACCTTTAGCGCGGCGGGTGCACCATTCCATTATCATCCATAAAAAAAAACCTCTACAAACTTATGTCATGTAAATTTCGAATACAGATAATTAAAATTATAGAATCAAGAACCTTTAAGTGGCTCTACAAACATTGAGGAATCTCACCCCCGAACTAGAAGAGAAGACCAAGGTTGCACGTCTTTTAACCTGACAGATAGTTCAGAGAGAAAGGAATGCACTCCTGGGTCCATGTACATCATCAGGTCACTAAAGTCATATTATTAAATTAACATTTTTGTTTTAATTTTGAAGAATTGCAATAGCAGTTTAGAGCAAGTATATACTTTTTTCCAAATTGAATAATTTTAGAGCCAGTGCTCAGTACCTAAAACCTTTTACTTATGATCCGTAATATATTAATATTTAGAAGCTCTTGGGATTCGACATATTCATATTAAGAAATATTTTTATCAATTTTTTACAAAACAAAGTACCTTAAAATTGTAATCAAATATTATAAGATCAAAACTGTGCATTTGCTATGATTTCTATCACAAAACGTTCATCTATATAATTTCAATATTCCCCATAATATCATTAAAGTATGAATTGACGTAATATAAAAAATATAGTCTATGTTCGAAAGAAATTTCACCATATTCAATTTCTAACATGTCTATCGAAACTGTTTAGAAGCCTGCCACTAAACCATAACTTCTTTTGCATTTGCCCATTCAATAATCTCCAGATCTGTGTTTATTAATTGTTAAATATATGTAATTCCTTTACTATTTAGATGCCGGCAATGCATTTGTCCCTATATGGGTAATATCAATCACTTCTGTCGTCCGCTACCAGAAGGTACTTATTGCGAGCAAGCGTTCCCGAATTACAACTATTTACCCATGGGCAGAAGACGTCAAGGTATACATAAATCTTTATATAATTTGTATATTTGGTATAATTTGTAAAAAAATTAAAATATACAAGTGAGCGATTAACGAAACCAGGGGAAATATGTCAAGTACATAAAAGGATTACACCTAGGACCACTAAGAAGAGCCGAATGAAAACAATATAAAGTATCAAGTTAGAATTTTAATTTTGAATAATTAAAACGAAACATAAACCAGTAAGTATTCCAGGCCGCGTTAGCAATTAAAAAAAAACACCGTTCATTCAGCCACAAATTTGTTCCCAATAGGCAAAGATAAAACATTACGTACACGCGAAAAATAGAAATATTTTGGTGTTGATGCAGTTCATTTACAAATCGAATTCAAATAAGTTAAGATTATTTTTATTGTGAAATAATAGAAGATATTCATGTAGTCCTATTACTGCACACAATAATTAAAAAGTGCCTTTCCATTTGTCATATTTTCATGATTAAACGACTAAAGACGTCGTAACTAAATTTAATATAATGATAGGTATGTTATAATAATAATATGTTGCTATTCTAAACTATATGCTATACTATTGACTTATACTATTTTATAACTTAATAAAAGCAGACGAAATCACATGTAACAAGCAGTATTATATAATTAAAAAAACTATATGGTATTCAATTCGTTTACAGATAACTCGACAAGTTTCAATACTGCTGATACGACAGAAATCATTCCAACGAACCACAATCACACAGAGTATAAATGCGCAAAACCTGGTAGGATCATAGATAAGTGTTTCATTTGTGAATGTGATGACCACAATGTTATTATTGAAGAACATTGCTTCAAAAGTAATGCAAAATCGTGTCTAGCTGCTGAAAAACCTACATTTTTAAAAGACAATAAACTTATTGTAATGTGAATGTATCTTTTTGTTTAGTGACTAAGTAAGAATGTAGTCCTACACTGTACATTTTTCTAGAAACGCACAATCACATTATGAAATTACCTTCCAGCAATGATTTCTGAACCGATACGATATTGCAACATTCAATAAAAGAGCTTATTCCTTCTTAAAAGGCCGGCAATGCACTTGCAATTGCCCTGATGTAGGTGCTCATGGGCGGCGGTAATCGTTTACCATCAGGTGAGCCCCAAGCTGGTTTGTCCCCTATACTATACAATAGACAAACCATATCTGTCACCACACCATACCACCATAAACTGAATCTGTCACGGCTAACTGACCTGACTTCATACTCATCTTATCAACTTTCACTGGAGTACTGTCAGCGCAGGGGGGTGATCATTCCATTGAATCCAACAGTGAATAGTTCATATTGTTGAAGGGTCAGGCTTCGCTGTTGGCGATAGTATATATATAAATGATTATCATTTTTCATCAAGTGGCCAAAGCTTGTTAAAAAAATACATTAAAAATCGATATGTAACTCGTAAGCACTAATTACTAAAATCAATTGAATCAATCAGGTCATCAAGTTAAGTGCTAATAAAACGCTTCAAATACAATCCAATTTAGTTACTCTGATTTTAATTTCATGAAATCACTTTGTTCTAATTCTTTATTGTTTATACAAGATGTTTATATATATTGGTATTTGTATATTCTCGTTAATTTTACTCATATATGTAGCAGCTACTGATGTAATTGGTAAGATTGTTAATATTAATATCTTAATAAGGATCATTATAACAGACTATGACAATCATGTTGTCAATTTTTAAATATATAATAGTAACACTGTGCCTACACTTGTAATACTTCTGCCAACACTCGACAACCCTCTAATACAGTACCTCTCCAGATAACATAGATTTAAGTTATGTAAGTGTAAAGTCAGTCCACGTTACTATTCCGCGTCGAATGTAGGCGTTACTAATAAGCCATGTAGCACACTATCCTATAAACTTATAAATATTATTACACTTATATATTCACTAAGTACTAATACAATAAACAATATTTTATGTAGCGACACCTCATCAAATAACGCTACAGTGGTGAGGTGATAACTACAACTGTCTCTGCGTTAGCAAGTAATGCTGTAAGAAATATAGAAAATCTAGTCTATTGTCTCATTGATCACTCGAATTAAAAATAAAGAATAAGTGTTTATTTTTCCACAATAAAACGTTGCAAGACCTTTTCTTTTCTATATTCTATTAATTTCAAAGTCAAATAATTTCGGTCAGTAATCCAACCAACAAATTTTAGCATTTATGCGGGTAGTTGACGCTTAGATTTTGCTACTCCATCATCTACATTACATGTACAATGTACATACCTTCTTTTATGTTTTGACTAATGTTTAATTTTGTGTAAATAAATTTTTTAAATATGTTAAAAATGAAATTAATCAGTTGTTCCCCCAAATTCAAAATCCTTATAAACTGAACATTTGACTGGACCACGCAATAGACCGAATCAAGTGCTACCTTTACCACGATGCAACGTCAATTTGTTAATGCCTCTGTTAATTCCAATTTTGAATTTAAATACAGTACAGTAGTTTCTTACCTTTTTCAGAATATGAGCAGAATTCCTGTGCAATTGGTAATATTTTGCATAACGACTGTAATCATTGTGTTTGCACACAAAAAGGCATATATGAATGTTCAGTAAAGAACTGTACAGAGAGTAAGTGGTAAACTTTATAATTTAATTAAAGCCTGGCGTTACTTGTATAAGGAATTTTCGATATTTTAAATATGTTAGACAGATACTCTATCTGAACGCCCCGTAATTATATTAAGATTTTATGTGACTAAAAGATTTACTTCTAGATAAAAAATATAGCAGTTGAGTTTCTTTCTTTGTTTGTTAGACTACCCACTTTAGTTCAGAATTATATTATTATATTATATTATTATATTTATATTTTTATTTTTCACGACTGTGAAAAATATGACAGAATGTGTCCTATATGGATTGATGATTTTTGCGTTGTAGAACGTTTATCAGGAATAATTTATCACTAAACTCTATGGTCTAACTCTATATCTATGGTAGTGAAATTGACTCTTATATACAATGTAAAATCTATGTAGTCTTAAAACATGTTTAAATGAGTTTTATGTTTAACTCAAAATTAAAAACAATTCTCTCATCAATGCTAACCACCAACGTGTTTCTGCTTGAAATGCATAGATACTTTAGCAGTAAATTACAGAACTTTTTTTTCTATCAATTTTCCATATCAGTTACATAAAGAACAACGAAATTCTAATAGAAATTAATACAGGATTCTTATTATTTCAGGTAACAATACTGAAAATAATTTCCATTGTGAGCCTAATCAAATTTATGTCAATAATAATATTACATGTATTTGTAATAATTATGGATACTGGCCACATAAACAATGCCAGGAAACTTTTCAAACACTATTAAGTAAAAACAATAATAAAACCAAATGCCAACCAAATTCGTATGTAATTATACAATGTAACGTATGTCGTTGCAACTCTGAAGGTGCTATCGACAGAAAACATTGTACTAAAAATATTTGCAACGATGAAGTTCAACAATACAACACTAGAAAGTCAAATAGCCTTAGTTATGTACATGGCACATGTAAGAAACAAAACTGGTACGCTTTAGCACCTTGTCAATTCTGTTATTGTGTCAATGATAATAAACTATTATGTAACACAGGACATTATACTAAAAAATTGGCTTTAGGAAGTTATAATCTAACACTATGTGGTAAAGACCTAATTAAAGAAGCAATACAATTGACGCCTGGCAATCAAAATTCTTTACAACAAAACGAAGTTAAAAACGTAATGGAAAGGTCCAAGAAACTAGATTCTACTACACCTTCTACCATGAGATATACATCCAAAGAACAAGGTCATGTTGTAATTGAAGTAAATAGGGAAGGGAATGAAAATATAGTTGAGGATAATATAAAAGGAAATGACAATGAGGACCTTTATTCAGATAGTGACGAAGAATACGAAAATGTTGATGTAAATAATGTTATCGCTCGAGAAGGTATATTCACACAAATGCCTTATCAAGATGAGGAACCAGATAATAGCATGGAGATAAATTATGTTGACAGTACTGGAGATGTAAGTGATCAAGTTGCAGACTCGGATAATGAAATAGTTATTGAATCTATAGTAAAACCGTCACCACAGCATCCAAAAAACAATGTTGTTGAAATTTCAACTGCTATGAATAGTATTTTGAGTTATCTTAAAAAAACAGATGATGCTAAATTGAAGACAGTGATTGATAATAAAAACCTTTTAAAGTTTAGTATTCCGAAAGTTCTGGAAAAGGTTTTCAAAATGGCGTTGAGGAGGTCAATGCTCACATTGAAAAATGACACCAAATGCGTACCCGGCGCTGTGGAAGCAGTTAAATGTAACACGTGTTTCTGTTTGAAAAATGCTAAAATGCTTTGTACAAAAAAAGTTTGTAAATAAAGGATTTAATTAGAACAGTTTTATTAATGCGATTTTAAGTCTGACACAAAAACTAAGGTTAATTTATAATTCTGACGCATTCTTCGATGAAAAAAACACGGAAATCAAGTCAAATTTGACTTGATTTCCGTGTTTTTTTCCCTGACGAGTTGGTATCAAATATTCCGAGCGAAATGTGAAGTGTTGCGTTCACCACACATCGATAGTTAATCTCTCTGACTGCTTCATCTGGAATAATAGACGTTACGATAAGGTTTTTGTTAGTTATATCTTACATCACGGTTATCCTATAAAATGCGTATGAATTATTAATTGCATTGACTGAGCCAAATAATAATAAGTAGGAAATTAATCTGACCATTTTTGTAAAATAATTTAGATTGTATTTTATCTATCGAATTAATAAAAATAGTAATAAAGATATTTCGAATTGTTACATTAATCAAACGAGAAGATTAAAACGTAGTTTTATTACCTGTACCAATGAAAATAAAAATAAAGTAACTGAATAAAATGGTTGTAAGAACAACACTTTCATTAATACTTTTTCAAATTATTACAACTGCCGCATTAAGACACGAGAAGCGTAAGTTTTATTATTTTATATTAATAATGTATGCGTATTTATCTTAAAAAAATATCGAAAAGATTACTACTTACCGAGGACCTTAAAAATGATTAATTCAGCTGCCATATAGTTCGCTTTTGCAAGGCATGTTTCTGTCGAAAGGTCAAATAAAGCGCTGAAATTACGGTAGTAGTATGAGATCTTAGTCTTCCAGAATAGCAACGTATAAGCAGTATCGCGGATGTCACATAATAACGTTATGTTTTTAATGTGTAATAAATATAAGTTAACGTTTCTAATTCCCTGGAATACCTACATAATACCAATTACATAAAAAGTACTTTTATATTCCAGCTGTAGCACAATTAATATGGCAAGGTCGATGCACAAGAAACAAGTATGCTCTAAATGATTGCAATTGGTGTACGTGTAATGAGAAACATCAGTATACATGCAAGGCTCGCGTCTGTGATGAAGTCGACATGTTTGGACATTTTAATGGTTAGAAAAAACAAAGATAATCTTTCTGATTCACTGTACAAGAGAATCTCTTCAATCTTATTCTAATTTTAAATTCTACTTTCTTATTATTATTTTTTTTCTCTTTGGCAAGAGGCTAGTCTTCAATACTTAGTTTTGAGTGACGTATTCTCATCTGTTTTTAGCTAAAAGTATCTGCATAGATTTAGATAAAATATTACAACAATAATTGCAACAGTTTCATTCTAAAAATCTTTACGTTTCAGTAATATAGAGGTTTAGTACTGGCCCCAGTTTTACATTTCTTAATCTCCATATGGAGCGAAACAAATAGCTGTAACTGCATTTTATTTAATATTCAGAGCGCCTATTTTAGCAATCGGTTGTCAAATTCTATTCTTCAATTAAATTTATCATTTTTTCAGCAACATGTTTTTTTAACTTGAACAGCAGCTAACTACATACTTCTAAATAATACGTTTCATTATAACAGATGCCATACGTGATATAAACGTTGGTATGGAGGGACACGGCACGTGGCGCTCTTCAGAGTCTCCCTGCGAACCAGGTGTACACTATCAGCGAAAAGATCTCCTTTGTGTTTGCGACGAAGAAGGTAATTGGCCCAATCCAGTCTGCCGAGATATATTCCGCATTCTTCACCCTGTCGAAGTCATTGAAGCATTTGAAACAAAGCATCAAAGTTGTAGTCCAACAAAACTCTATTTAATCGGTTGCAATGTGTGTTTTTGTCCGTCCAAAGGTAAAATAGACACAGATATGTGTACAAAAAGAGAATGTGTTCACAATGACCCAGTAATTATAGCTCGAGATGAAAATAATGCGGAAAGAAAGGAAAATGATATTATAGACAATTATGATATTTATGCACAATGTCGTCCAGATCATAAATATAAATTGGGCTGTAAGACGTGTATTTGCCTTAGAAATAATAGACTGCATTGTAACAATTGCACTTCAAATGAACAAGCCGTGGAAGCTGTGCAATCATATTGTAGTAATATAAAGAAAGGACACTTGTTTAGCAGAGATTGTAATTTATGTTACTGCGATAAAAATGGACATTCATATTGTACTGTAAAAAAATGTTTAAAATCTAAAAATATGTATTATAAGGAATTTAGTGACAACAATATAGTTTTAGATGTAACAGATGAGCCTTTCAATGAAGAAAATTGCATACCAGGAAATGTTTACAAAAAAGATTGTAATACATGTTCATGTGTTGAAAGAGACGGTAAAAAAACGTTCGGGTGCTCATTAAAATTTTGTGCAAGAACGAGAAGTACCAATGAGTTGATGCATTTTGACTGCGTTGAGAATACAGTTTACGAATTGAATTGTCTAATTTGTAGCTGTGAAGTAGTAAATGGTACAAAAAAACAATTATGCGAAGTCAATCCAAAGTGTAATGATGTAACAAGAAATGCAAATGATCTAGATGAATTGCATGGCTATTGTGAACCGTTGCATAATTATAAGAAAGACTGCAATGATTGCCGATGTTTATCCGATGGCAAAACTGTAATATGTACATCACGGATTTGTGCTAAGCGTTCTCAGAAACCGATCAGAGTAGATATTGTGCCTGTAACACAAAAAGGCGAGCATTGTCCTATAGGCCATTCTTATAAAATAGATTGTAATTATTGTTTCTGCTTGTCAAACGGTAATGCTGTATGTACGACTATTGGTTGTAAAAAATAAATTATTATAATGTTTATTTTAACGTTTAATGCGCAGTAAAATCTTACTACCCGTATGTTTTATTAGGTCACATCTACGCAGCATTTCTAGCATTATGTATATTTATAATCTTTATATATAAAAATTATGTGTCACGTTGTTTGGTTTGGGTTTAGGAGCGCGCGAAGCGCTCCTAAACTACTAACCCGCTTGCAAATTTGATTTGCACATTGCGCATTGTGTGAAATTTGATCCAATTTGAAAGGTAGGATAGCTTACATCTTAATTTATAGTCGCAATATTATTTTATTCAAGAACCTTAGCCACAGCAACACGTGGCCGGATCTTCTAGTCTGTAATAATATTATAAATTACACATTAATGTATGTTTTTTACCTTTTCAAGACCTAAAACGGCTGATAATGAGGCCTTTTTATAGTACAGGAGGCAAACGAGCTTGTGAAACATCTGATGGTAAGTCATTACCGCCGCCCATGAGCTCCTGCAATACCAGGGATAAGGGTAAGAATTAGGAAAGGGATAGAGGATGGGCGTCCAAAACCATGATATGGGCTATATCTTATATATAAAATTCTCGTGTCACAATGTTAGTTACTATACCTCCGAAATAGCTTTACCGTATTTTATGAAATTTTATACGCATATTCAGTAGGTCTGAGATTCAGCGATACCCCTGAGTGATAAGAGTTGTCCACCCCTAACGGTTTTTTTTATTATACTTTTTTATATTGTAGCATGAAAAGATACATACAACCCTAAATTTGTATCCATCTATCACCAACTCCTATTTTTTAATCATCATCATTGCCTTGCCTTTATCCCATTATTTGGGGTCGGCGCAGTATGTCATTCTCTTCCATAGCTCTCTATCGGTCGTCATATCTAAACATACTCTTCTTTTATTCATATTATCTTTCACACAATCCATCCATCTTTTCTTAGGGCGTCCCCTCCCTTTTTAATAGTGCTTTTAATTTATATGGCAAAACAACGTGTACGGGGTCAGATAGTTTTACATAAAAAATGGACTAAGTGGTGTTTAAAGCACCCAATGCTACAGTAAATGTTTGCCATCATATGTGTTGCATATATATATAAATATAAACTATTGTTTTATATCTGATTGCGAACTGTAGCGCCATTTTGTATGCCCTACCGGAGTTTCTATTGCTTTTATTTCCGAAATTAAAACACATTTCCATTTACAACTATATTTCATTTCATCTAAAATAATTTACAAGCATCATCCTAAAAAACAATGCAATTGAATTAATCAGTTTGAAATACAAAAACATAGTTACAAATAAATTCCATACACACATAGATCGGGGAACGGGGACTGTGTAACATGTAACAATCAGATGAAGTAACAATCACAGTGACAATTTGTAATATTACAAACTGAAGAGCTTGTGTGGTTGAACCCGCTAATCTATCTAAGGAAAGCTATATAACATATATATGACCAATAGAAGATAATGGCTTCAGCAGATTATCGGGTTGAAATGATAGAAATCTTAAATATATTGTGTAAATTACTATTTAATTATAAATTAGGATGATTGAACTTGAAAATCTACGTTATCTCGATGGATTTGATTTTTATAGTCTGTACCTACGTGTACGTTACGTAGCGAATTTAAATGGATGGATATGCGATCCAATCAAAACGCTTCTTCTGTGTTGCTTTTATTTCTGCTTGTATGCGACAGAAGTGGAGCATCAATAAAAATAGTTTTAAAAACGGAGTAATTCATTTCCTTTGAGAACCCCAGTCATTTCACTCAGATTCTGGAATGTACTGCCATCTACAGCGTGGAGTTTTTCAAGTAGATAAGGTTTCTTAACGGTTGTACGTGACCCTTCAGGTGTTTTGGGGTATGAAGGATATAGACTCGTTACCAGATGGATGGTATGCTTGAATTTTACCACCATGATATAAAAAAATCTCTCTATCGCAGACGAAGTAGCGCGGATCAGCTAGAGTATCAGGGTTATAAGCGTAGTGCCTAAAATGTGACATGCTACAGGTAACATAATGCCCAATACTTTATAATTAAGATACAGATTGCTTAAAATTAGAGACAATACTGCAACTAAGTTATCAAACTTAACTATGATTGATACTTCACTTTGTTTGTTACTGATTCATTCACATGTTCTTTGTTACAGATTTTACAATACATTTTGTGCACATAAACACTAACATAATCCTCACACAGTAATAATAATAAAAATAAAATAATCTGTCAAATAAATATAAAAATAATCATCATAGTATAATTTAAAATTAAAATATGCTATAACATTTGAGTACAAAACGTTTGTTTTAGTTAATTACTAAAGCATTTCAACTAAGAGGTTCATTCGTGTCATTAAATATATCTTTTAAAATAGATTTAATTTGTTTATTATAATTTACTTCGATCACAGTTTTTGTGCTTAATTATAAAGTAACTGTACAAATAAGAGACAATTGTAAGTAGACGTTAACAATTAAAAAAAGGATATCATATTTTATTAAATCAAATCAAAATATCTATAATCATGTAGTTCTATTGCAGACTCTTATGATATGTCAAACACCTACCGTCAGTTCGGAGTACTTTCGAGTTCTTTTTAAACGAGCTTGTACATGATAAACATGTACCAATCATCTATAATATCATTTAAAAAGAATAAGAGGTGAGTTTCTAGTAGGTAAGTTCTTATCTTGATAGCATTCCAACTCATACAAGTGGTCAATAGCTGGACTCAGTTTTTTTAATTTAGTCCAATACAATTTTAGTCAAAACTAAATCCAACCATTAATTCCCATTCTCTAATGAAACAAATGCTTCTTTTCGTCATTAAAATAAATTAAATAATAATATAAGTACAAAACAAATAATATTTTATAAGTATCATGTTTAATAATGATTACATTATTTTAATTATAAATTAAACCTTGTCACTTGTATTATAATTTCAATATTTTAACATATTTTGGTATATATTCAGTACATAATTATTATAATATATTTATAAAAAATTAGGATGATGTTTGTTTTAATATTTTCTATAGAATTACAAAAACTTTGTGTCTACAATAGAAGAATTTTATTTTTAAGATTTCTGTTCAAATTTGAATTAAGTAGGTTTTATAACTATGCACGGGAATTTAATGAAATTACTACGGTTTTGTCGTTCGCGACAATTGTATCGACTTCAAGTGTTCACTTTTTGGTATTTAAGCTGTGGATTAGTTACATCTCACTCACAAATTATAGTCAGTTTATTAAATTTCCGTATTTAATTATATAAACATAACAATTTTGCTACTTTTTATTATCATTGAAGCTTAGAAAAGATTTAATTAGTCTATCTAATTTATAAGGCAGGTAGCTATAAACACTACACGTAGTCGTAGTCATATTGGCGATACAAAGCGATTTATTAGTCAATTTCTTAAAAGGTCATAATTTATTTACGTAATTATTTAATTGTTGACAGAATTTCGATGAAAATAAAATAATAATGAAAATTGCATGCTACGTAGCATGTTATATAAAAAAATATATAGGTATTTTGTTTAATTAAAATTTAAACTCCATAAAAATCTATGTAGGTACCTACATCTTAAAAGTGCAAGATACCCATTGCCTACTTGAACCGAAATCAATGGGAGAAGTAAAATATAGGTTATAAATACCTAAATCATAAATATAGGATCATACTTAAAATAAAGAGAAAGAAATTTAGCATACAGTTTTAAATAAACCCTGAAAACGGAAAGGAATCAACTAAAAATTTGAATTAGTATTCTAGAATAGAAATACACGAATACTAAATTACTTATCATGTAATAACATAAAAAAAACTCATATAACTGACGTAAAATATTTATTTGCATGTTCAATTTCACGCCTTCCAATTCAGAAAAATAAAAAAACAAGTATGTATTTGTCATATTATGAAATATTTTGTGCGAAAACTCTTTCTATTTCAAAAATTATTGACAGTACTTTTTCTACAGAACACTTTTTTAGTTCCATATTGTATATTCTATAGATATTCTGTTACAGTAACACGAGGACAAAATGGCGGAAACAAGCGCTAATTTTATATTATAATTTGATGCACGTGACAGTAATATAAATAACATAACATTTTCTATATATTCCCTTCAACTCCTTACTATTACAGGAGCGATTTGTTTTCTCGAATACAGTTGATCTTTACAAAACGCTTTTCAGCGATAAGGCCGCCCATTGTTGCCTCTTTAAATCATTATTGTATGTTTATATATATTTATATATTTATACATAATAATGTTTGTTTTCATTCTGTGAGGAGAACAATAAAGAATTTTTCATTCATTCATAAAATACATAAAAACAAACTGTGACAAAGTAACTAAATGTATTCTACAAATTTACATTGCATCCATACAAGAAGTTTCTTCGTTCTGCGCCACAAATTGTGACCACATTTATTCATTAATCACAATAACCATGTCAACAAATTCATTCTTCAAAGACGGTTTTGTCGAGTGGCAAGTATTTCTAACCATATCTATAGTACTGATACTTGGTTGAATATTACTAAAAACATCAAATCTTCAGATAAAATATATTATGTTTCATATTCTCAGAATAAGCGCATAGACAGTGAGTTATACAGAACACAAAGAATTAATATAGATAAACAAAGCAAATATATTGAATTAAAAAAAAATTAGTTTCATTATAATTTTTAATCATACAATAAAAAAGTTTCGGACGAAAGCAAGATGGACGCTTTACTAAAAATATAGTGATTTTTTGCTCAATGGCTCTAGTCATAAAAAATATATACCACTCGACAAAAATACTACACTGTACAATGTACAATGTAAGTAAATCTACACGTTTTAATACCAGTGTTGCCAGATATAACTTATTTAAAAATATAATTACTGTAACAATTTAATGGGAGATGGAGTTATAAGTTACCAACCAGTCAATAGTAACGCTGAACAGAGGGAGTACAAAATGTTACGAATTATACGTAATAAAGTAAAATGGAATAAATATTGTTTACATATATAATACATATATTAATAGTACACATACATATAATAATAATCATATTATAAATATTATTACATATAGCTAAATGTGGCAAAATAGAGTAACTCTCTGTAAAAGATTTATGTTCAATTCTGAAGAAAACCCATCAAAAGGCAAAACCTGGCAACACTGTTTAACATTTTAAATTATGAGAATGTATCGTTTACTTGTCTACAGCACCTGATGAAGGTGGCTCTTCTAGGTAATTCCCGTAGTCTAGCAGCTCCTACATATGTACAAGCTGATCGTAGACCACCCAGGATGTCTTTAACTGTAGTAGCGACGTCACCTCTATACTCTACTTCTACCGTTTTACCTGAAATATAAATATAAGAATATAATTACTACCAAGGTAGACTCGTCGTCGTAGTATCTATTTAATTTTGACGACCTCGGTGGTCTAGCGGTCAAGCACACCGCTTTACGACCGATGGTCGCGGGTTCGATTCCTCGCACGGCACAAACATTTGTATCCTGAGTATGATTGTTTGTATCGGTCTGGGTTTTTTCTATGTATAATATGTATGTATTTACAAAAAAAATATCTATGTATATGTATCAGTTATCTAGTACCCATAATACAAGCTTTAGCTAGCTTAACTTGGGTCAAGATGACACTGTGTGAATTGTCTTAAAAAAAAAAGTATATATTTATATCTTTTGTTTAATGCCCGTAACATACACTACATAGCTAGGGTCAAGATGGCGCATAGGGTATAGCCTCCGCTTTGTGTAGTCGCTAATGCACTTTCCTGTGAAGAAGATTTTAGTTTGTATACACCTCTATCAAGCACACCTGCCACTCAAGTCTTACCTTTAAATATATTATCCACGGTTATTATTATGTACAAATAGTTCAATGTACATACCTTCAGAAGACCTATAATCCGCGATTCCGCCTGAATGTTTCAACATGGCCGTCGAAGATGACATTCCGTAGAAGAGCTTCACCTTCCTGCCGTCGGCCGCTGTGACCACCTCCCCCCCACATTGGTCATGTCCAGCGAACATGCCGCCCGCCATCACGAAGTCGGCGCCACCGCCGAAGGCCTTCGCAACGTCGCCGGGACATGTGCAACCACCGTCCTGTTATATTAATAAAATAGTGAGGTATTTATATTAACTAGTCGACTAGTGGTGGACATTCGACCATAATAAGTTTAAATTATAAGTTCGAACATCTTTAAGCTTCTAGATATTTATATTAACTAGTGGTCGACATTCGACAATAATAAATTTAAATTATAAGTTCGAACTTCTTTAATCTTCTAGATATTTATATTAACTAGTGGTCGACATTCGACAATAATAAATTTAAATTATAAGTTCGAACATCTTTAAGCTTCTAGATATTTATATTAACTAGAGGTCGACATTCGACAATAATAAATTTAAATTATAAGTTCTAACATCTTTAATCTTCTAGATATTAATATTAACTAGTGGTCGACATTCGACAATAATAAATTTAAATTATAAGTTCTAACATCTTTAAACTTCTAGATATTTATATTAACTAGTGGTGGACATGCGACCATAATAAATTTATTGTAAGTTCGAACTTCTTTAAGCTTCTAGATATTTATATTAACTAGTGGTGGACATTCGACCATAATAAATTTAAATTATAAGTTCGAACTTCTTTAATCTTCTAGATATTTATATTAACTAGTGGTCGACATTCGACAATAATAAATTTAAATTATAAGTTCGAACTTCTTTAATCTTCTAGATATTTATATTAACTAATAGTCGACATTCGACCATAATAAATTTAAATTTTAAGTTTGAACATCATTAAAATTCTAATACAGATTATTTCTACACTACTTTCTTTTTATATTGAGTTTTTATATCCGAATTATATTTATATATTGAGCGAGCGATATTTCACTAATAACTAATATATATTGTAATAAATGAATTTATTATGATGTTTGACATGCAGTAAAACTATAAACGTATAATATTAAAGACAAACAATATTAATCTATTCTCAATTTGACCATAAACTTTAACCATAAACAAACTGTATACTCTATTTATCTGTGTCTGTGTCAAATACATGGTAGTGTTTATAATACATTGTTTATGTATAATTTAAAAAAAAATTGCATCCTGCACTCCTTCTCTTCATAAACTATAAGTGTGCTATTGTGTGTTATTCTGATGTATAATCTATATTACTGAAAAGTTTCATTAAAATCTTTTTCATCAAAGGTTTTATATAATTTGTATGATAATATATAAGATTTACTCACTGATATAATATGTCCTTTGAGACCATGCGCTGCGTCTGCGCATTCCATAACAGCAGACAGTTGAGGATATCCAACACCAGTCTTAATCCGAGTTGTACACACAGAACCCGGGCCTATACCCACCTGCAGACAATTTATTTTATATAATCGTAAAGGACCAAAATCTGACTGCCCAACCGATGGCAGCGATAACCCTCGCCATAGCAAATATCGCCAATATGGTACATAAATTAGATAAAACTGTCCATACCTTAATAATATCGGCACCAGATAATATAAGTTCCTCCACCATCTCACCAGTTACCACATTTCCAGCCTGTAATATAAAGACAAAGAAAACTTACATATACGGTTATTGAAGTCGCTGCAAATGAATTTTAAAATTATTGTAATCACATATGTAACTATTCTTTTTATTTCTTGTATTTGCTTGACAAAAATATTGGGAAGACTCAAAATTTTGGTGGTACAATAAGATATAGTATTACTGTATTCTTGATTAAATAATGAACATTGTACACATTGTTTGTTGACCTAAATAAAATAAAACCGCATTATTATCAAAACTTAGTCATTAAATAAAGTCGCTTTACCGTATTTTGGCGATGCCAATGTTTGTGGAAGAACTTATTTGAACTTCCTTTTGAAAAGTAAGTATAAAGAATATTGACTTCTGGATTTTTGGAAAGTTAAATCCAGAAGTCAACTCCAATCGTTTATTTTTTTGGTATCTCCCATGGACTTCTACTTATGAATTCTACTGATCGGGGAAAAAAGGGATTGTCAGTAATGTTGTCCCCATTACTAGCAATAATGTACCGTGTCATCGCCGCCTCCGCGCGGTGACCTCTAGAAACCATCCAGATAAATTTCTGGTGAATTAGTCACTATAGGCTATCTGACCTGACCTCATGTTCATCTTATCATTCTCTCCAGTGTCAGCGCAGACGATGAACCATTCCATTATCAACTAATCAATCATATAACGAGAACAATTCAAATAACGTCAAAGATATAAGAAATGAAATACATAAATATCAGGCCCGAATTATTTGTAATTGGTGAGAAAAATTGATATTACTGAGGTCAAAATTTGCAGTGCGTCGTCTTAAAATCAGATAATTTATGGTCATACTAACGATGATTGTGTGGGTGGGGAATGCAGCACGAACTCTTCGCACATACTCCACGAAGTGCTGTGAATACCCGTTGGCGACGTCCAAACACACGAATTTCAAGTCTTTAACATTGTTAAGGATATCGGAGAGGCGATCGAAGTCTGCATCTGCCGTTCCTGAACTCGCCGCTGTAACGAAAACAAATAAATGTTCAAATAATCAAAGTTCTTTTTTCAATATTCTATTTGCGTGAATTCTGTCTCACCTAATTCAGAAGCCAAGCAACTTGATTTGTAGGTACTGTTTCGAGTTTAGGATATAAATTAGGGCGTGAAATTGCAGGATATAGGCATGACATCTTTTGCTCATTTTATCAAAGTGCTCATTTCATTATTCAATTTTTTTTTACAATCATCTGCATGGACAATTCTGTCTCACCTATTTCAGCAAGCATTTTGCTTTGTGAGTTGTGTTTCGATTTTAGGATGCAGATTAAGTAGTGAAATTACTGGATAAGATATCTTTTGAAGATGAGATCTTTTGCTCATTTCATAATTCAATTTTATTTTTTAAGTCATCTACGTGGATTCTGTTTCACCTATTTCAGCCGCCAAGCATTTTGCTTTGTGAGTTTCGATTTTAGGATGCAGATTTTTTTAGAATCATCTGCCTGGACAATTCTGTCTCACCTATTTTAGCCGCCAAGCATTTTGCTTTGTTAATTCAGTTTCGATTTTAGGATGCAGATTAAGTAGTGAAATTATAGGATAAGAGGCATGAGATCTTTCTTTGGAGTGGTAAGATTTATTTATATAAGTGGTGTCATATGATAACATGAAGTCCGTAGTCCTGTTCATGTATATAGAAGAAGGTTATCGTTTATCATCAATTGAATTGAAGGGCATATTACAATATTAGCACAGGCCTTAATAAGTTATATTGTACTTTAGATATATTATGAACTGTACTATACTTTACAATCTACCAAAAATTATAAACCCTCTGGTTACAATTCTACTAATGAAAAACGTTGGATGTTTTTGAATGAATACCGAAGATTGAGGTTTCTAGAGACTTTGTAATAAATAATGTATGTTTATTTTTGTATAAAAAATAACATTCTTGGAATTAATGTATATTAATATATTGGAAATAATATCACGCAGGATTAATTATTTATTAGTGATATGTCACAGGGACAGGGACTACCCTGTAGCTTAGTAGATATACCCTTTCCGATTAAACTTGTAATGTAAATATATCTTTACATAGTATAAAACAAAGTAGCTTATAGCTTATTTATTATATCGCTTATATCTTTTAAATTACGTAACGAATTTTAATGTAGTTTCAGCAATAGATAGAGTGATTCAAGATGAAGGTTTATATGTAGCCGACAAGTTCAGAGATATCTAATGGATGTACGCCGGGACGGGTCGCTAGTATATATGTGACTTAGACATTACATTCCACTAACCCATTTGCTGTAAACACTCGGGATGATCATCTGCGAATTTCTTCCATTCTTCTATTGTATAATATTTGTGAATACACGTGAACAGGCCGTGCTGGAACAATATTTACACAATGTATATAAGTGAACAACAATCTGCAGATTTTGTCAAGCTGAAGAGGAAACGCCACTACACATCCTATGTTTTTTTTTTATAACACAACGTGCATGCGGCTCACCTGATTGTAAGTGATTACCGCCGCCCATGAGCACCCGCAACACCAGGGGAATTGCAAGTACGTTATCGGTCTATTAAAAAGGAATAAGCTCTTTTTTTTAAGGTTTCAATATCGTATCGGTTCGGAAATACCATTGCTGGAAGGTGATTCCACAATGTGGTTGTGCGAGGCAAAAAGTTTCTAGAAAACCGCACTATGGAAGACCGCCATTCATCCAGATGATCAGGATGGTATTTCTGGCGGGTGGTACGGTGGTGAAACTAGTTGTAACCCACTCATGTATAAACGAAATATCTTAAGAGATAAAAACTATTGCTCCTAAGAATATCCATCAATTCTTTTCCTTGACAAAATTCTTGGAACGTTTACACTCTAACCTGAGGAGATAAAAACCATGTCTCCTAAGAATATCCTTCAATTCTCGGCAAGTCCAGGTTGCGAACTTTGAAAAAGAGCTAGCACAATAGATCAGGTTGTAGTACTACAGGTCTTAGCACATGACAATGGTTGAAAAATCTAAATCAAAAATAATATAGGTGTACAATTTTTATTTAAGTTTGTTCTGGTTTTCTTACCAAATCAAAAGCAATCTTAACTGACGGTAGATTTGACATATCAATGAAAGAGTCTGTAATAAATGGACGTGAGTATTTTGATTTGAAATAAAAACGGTGAATTGTGACAGTCTCGCTGACACATGTATCAAAGTTCTTTAGTTTTATTTTCATATGTATAGCTTAAAATAATTTAACAACAACTAATTATATTTTTTAGTTTCAAATCAGTGTTACCTTCACCGGTCAGTCAATCAGAGACAGTCAAATAAAAATTTGTGTTTGTCACATTTGAACTTACGACCTTTTTGGTTATGAGTCGTGATACTGAAGTATTAGCTTACGTCGTGTTCTTAGAATTAGGTATAATTTTTACAATTAACAATGTTATATTGTTCTAGTAAGTAGCAAAACAATAGTTTTCATTATCATTTAGTTATAACTAATTAAACACTAAACATTCAGTTAAAATTAACATAGTTATGTTTTGTAACCGTTGATTCTTTGTTCTCAATACCTAGAATATAAAAGTAATACCTAATTTACTTGTGTATGCCTACTGTGTATCATAATTCGGTTGGTATAAACTATGTTATTTATTTTGACAGATAGGTAGATACACTTTTTGCCACTTGTGCATTAAACATTTTTTTTAAAGCACAGGAGACAAAAGATCTTGATAGTAAGTGATTTGACTGACTGTGATTGACACACAGGAGAATTGCTAATGTGTGCCGGCCTAAAAAATAAGCTCTTTCTTGAAGATTTCAATATCGTATCTGTTTGGTAAAATCATTGCCGGAAGGTGTGCCAACTTGATTCCTCTACGTGGACGTGACCGCTGACAATGCAATATTTTTATGTAACTGAAGTAGGAAATAAGCTGACTGCCTTTCTAATAGAATACGAAAATCGACTATATCTATGAACAACACGGAGGCCACATCGTTGTAAGGTGGACATTGGGAGGATAAATCAGTACTCCAGAGTTCGGATATAGACTAGACTGCTTTTATTACTACAGATCATCACGCGTTTTGAAAAGATTCATAAAACACTTTCGTTGTAAAAATGAAAGTTTATAAATTACAATTATATTTTTGTAGAAGAAATTTTAAATTCATAGCGCTGACTATATTTTCTGATTGCACTAAGAATGAGTGCGTATCGACTTCTATGATGATTATCGCATGCCTCTTGTTATGTGTATTATTTAAATAACATTTATTCAAAAGAGCAACACAAGTTTCTTGCTCGCTCTTCTTGTGATGAGTCTGCGTTCCGAATGAGTGGTAGAAAAAAAATTATGACTATTTAAAAATGCTTGTAGTGAATTTATTTGAATGAAGATTATTTCTATTTCTATATTACAGTAGTATAGTATAAATGTAGTATGTGTGTTTTGTGGTTTTGGTTGTGTTTATCTGTGCAATATTGCTCCAACCACATAGTAAAAAAGACAGTTTATATCCGAACTCTGGAGTAGTCATTTCACCTCATAAAGTCCAAACTTACATCGTCATATGACGTCCATGATACGCCTCAAACAGTATAAAAGAGTAGAATATATAATTTCTTATGCCTATGATATCAGAATTTAAGAATAAGCTAGGATATTAACATGCGGGCCAAGGATTGCGTGAGAATCCTTGAAGCGGTCGCCATAGCCGATACGGCTAGGATATGTCAAGGTATCAGGATTCCCTTATAATATGTACCCTTTAAATTTACTGCTCTACCTTTCCCTTCAAATCCAAAACACAAGTCATAAAGCAAGTATCAAGAAATAGATGAAACAGACGCAGACGTCTTGTACTAAGTCTACAGACGTAGAAGCCAGCGCAGCTTGTTTTGTTATTCAAATGCGATAAAAAAGAACGCTATACACCTTAGAACGGAGAAGGGGATTGTTAGTTATGCGGACTAATAATCCTATTGCTAGCAATGTATTCATAACATTGTATTATTTGACTTTCACGCAGTTCTCCCTGGAGACCATCGTGGTAAATTGCCATTAGCTATGACAAACTAGCTAATCATCACTTTGCATTCCCTTGTGTTCTACAGAATATACAACGGACTGTGTTCTGAAGAATTGTTCGACAAGATGTCCATGGTTGCTTTTTACTATCGCACTGCACGCAATGGACATCCTCACACGTTGGCACCTAAATGGTCTCGGACAGTGCGGTTTCAAAGGAGCTTCCTCCCGCGTTGCCAAGGCCTTCTCGAGAGACTACAGCATGGGGTTTTTCAAGAAGAATATCCAGCGTGCAGTTATGATTGTGGATTTAACTGCCAAGGCCTTCTCGAGAGAGGGTAAAATAAGGTTTCTTTAGTACACGTGACACCCCTGGTGTTTCAGGCGTGCATAGGCCACGGTAACCATTTATCATCACATGGGCCGTTACTTGTTAGCCACCATTGTAATATATAAAAAAACTGTCCAGACTTCAAATTCATTTTATCATCCTCTATAGGTCCTTCTAACAATGTATCCTTCCAGCAATGGTATTTCCGAACCGATACGATATTGAAACCTTCAAGAGAAGAGCTTATTCCTTTTTAAAAGGCCGACAACGTACTTGCAATTCCCCTGATGTTGCGGATGCTCATGGGCGGCGGTAATCACTTACCATCAGGTGAGCCACATGCTCGTTTGTCCCCTGTGTTATAAAAAAAAAAAAGGTGTACCGCCAACTTAAATAGTTAGCGCAGGTGGGTGCGCCATGCAATTATCATCCATAAAAAAATCACCTTAGACAGTTCTTGTGCCATCTCGAATGTGCCGACGGTGTCCATATTGCTGGCCATAACTGGGACGCCCCGGTACGTTTGTCCGGAGTTCCGAAATGTAATCTCTCTATATAGGTCCACCTGGAAACAAACGTTAAAATACAAATTATAAAATCAATTATTCATGTAAGACATTTTAATTGTCCAAGTCAAATTTTGTGGTCCTGTTGATACTCGAATCAATACTCCAATAGATTATTGCTATTGAGTAAAGGGCGAGCACAATAGATATATGCAGGTCGCAGTGTTACAGACACTAGCTCAAAACACTCAATAAAGAAATGAGCCAACTTTTTTGTATATATTATATTTATTATCGGCCTCGGTGGTCTAGTGGTGTAGCGCACTGCTTTACTTCCGATGGTCGCGTGTTCCATTGTCTCACACGGCTCGAACATTTGTGTTCATGAGTATGATTGTTTGTATCGGTCTGCGTATTTTCTATATTATTTTATAATTATTTAATTTTGAACAAAATCGTCCTTTACGTAATTTCAACATACACTAGATCTTAACATATCGTAGTTAAGATGTTTACCAACTGACAGACATATCAATATAGCTAAATCAAAATGCAAATTTCATGGAGATAAAGTTGACTTTTTTTAGCAAAGTATCAGAAAATCTTAGAGAATACTAGTGCTGTACTTTTTCACACGCCAAAATACCAGCCATACTAAAACGTGTCGAAAAGTTTAAAAATTGAACAAATGCAATTGCCGTGCGAAACCATGTCGGGTGGCAATAGTCTGTTTTTAATTCTGGAAACTAAATTGACAGGTATAAATGTCTAATTTTCAAATAACGTTACCACCTATAGCAGAATAGTGCTGTACCTGCGATATCGATTTGTTTAACCGCAATTTTTTATTTTAACATCGTAGTTTTAAAGTCTTACATGAACTCAAGCAGACGAATTATTAAAAAGTCTACCGCGTTATATTTAACTAGATGTACGAGTATCTTATCGTTTATTTTAATTTACAGAATTCCAACCGTCGACACAATGTCGCCGTATTGTGAACCATTTGGCATCATGCCCACTTTAGATATAAATAAATATATATAGACACAGCATTTCTACTTGCATGCCCATTTTTACTACTAGTAATTAGCAGGTGAGAGCATTTTTTTTATTCCGACGTTAGACCTCGGGAATCTTGCGCTTAAGTACCCCGTAACTTTACTTTTTGTACTCATGAATGAATACGAATGCTTTTTGCTTGCTTGCCCAGATTTTGTCTTTGTATATTATGTAAAAAAAATTAAGTATTTATATTAGTTCTCTAGTACCCATAACACAAGCTCTGCTTAGCTTTGGACTAGATGGTGTTGTGATAATTGTTCATGAACATTATTATTTTTGTTTATAAATATATTAAATATATATAGTCTTTATATATAAAAAATACGTGTCACGTTGTTAGTCCGCCATAGACTCCAAAACTACTGAACCTTGCAATTTGCACATTGTGTGCAATTTGATCCATTTTGAAAGATAGTATAGCTTACATCTCAATTTATAGTCGCAATATTATTTTATTCAAGAACCTTAGCCACAGCAACGCGTGGCCAGATCTGCTAGTATTATATATTTATATATTGGTATGACAATCAGGCTGTCAGACCAATGATGGTAAACGGTAACCGTCGCTCTATACATGAACAGCACTAAAACCATCAAGTTTTTATTTACCACAGATGCCTGTAATACCACCAGCGTTGCCAGATTTTTTTGCCAAGTCTGGATTTTGAATCTTTTTGAGTGCAACAAACGGGATTCTCGTCGAAAGCGGGACATAGTGAAAAAACGTATATAATCAGAAATTTATAAATATTTATTGTTCAAATTACGTTTATATGAAATTAGATAACAAATATAGCCACAGAAAATGTATTTTAATAAAAATATGATACTTCAAATCACATTTACCCTATCATTAGGTTGAGTATTATTCTCCTCACCCATTGATTTTCGTATTTTGTGACGTGCGTAATGATATTCATGTTTAATGGCGTCGGGCATTTTATTTAGGCAAGTGACCTGTCAGTGTGTTTGCCACTCTAATCGTTTTTATGTAAATGATATATCAAACAAACTAATCACATGATTTTTATCGTGGACGTCACATTTTGACGTCTGTAATAACTCTAATGCATTCCTAAAAATGAAGGTTTTATGTACCCTGTAATTTGACATCAGTCTCTAATACATTCTAAAAATTGCTGTAATTTGATGTTTTATAGATCATAAAAATTGCGTAATTTGATGCATGCATTCGTGCTCTAATGCATTACATTACTAAAAATTTAGTTTTCATATACCCTGTAATTTGATGTTTGACGTAACTCAAATGCTTTACATTCCTAAAAATTAAGTTTTATCTCTGCATAACCTGTAATATCTTAAATGATTACAAACATTGGAATGCGTGTTTATGAATAATGGTATATAATGGTATATATGAGCGTAAGTTTCTCAGTATCTGCAGGTGAAAGTCCCATCAAAATCTTAAATGCTGTAGACATTCTTGATTTTTTTAATTGTAATAATTTAGTGATAAAACTGTAACAAAATAGCAAAGAGGATGGATTCACTGACCCCTTTGTGTTACGGACAATTTTATCTTGATTAATGTCATTCAATTTTATTACAACCAGTAATTAAAACAGTTTTTTTTTATAAATGATAATATAATAGTGCACTCGCTTGTGCTAACGGTTTACGCTGGCGGGACACTGGTTGAGGATGATAATATGAGCATGAGGTCAAGTGAGTTAGAAAACCATGGAAACCGCGTGGTGGTCTACCTGATATGGTACATTGGTAGCAATGGAGTTATCCACCTTACTAACAATCCCCATTCCCTCGAGGGAATTTATACAGTTTGTTATTAATAATAATTAAGCGGTAAGAGAAGCCAAAGGTTAAAGAATATTGAAGCGAGACTGAAATATGTTAGTGATAACAAATGACAGAGGCCATAACATTTCTGTAGCGATAATAAGGAATTTGAATGATACATATATATATTATAATAATCTCGGGACAATTCACACAACGCCATCTAGTCCGAAGATAAGCATAGCTTGTGTTTTGGGTACTAGACAACTATTAATTTTTAATATATGTATACTATACCTTTTTTTGTAAATACTGTATATTAAAATAAAAAACACCCAGACCTATATAAGCTATCATATTAATGAATAGGTACTACATATATATGTTTGTATCATGTGGAGAATCGAATCCACAACCACACCACAAGATGTAAAGCAGTGTGCTAAACCTCTAGACCAACGAGGCTGCCAAAATAAACTCTTTATTCCACTAAATATACAATATAAGAATGAATAACAGAGTATAATTAAATATAATTAATATTCAAAAGGCGGTATTATCGTTCAAGCAATGTCTTCCAAATAACCTTCGGATAGAGGGGAGAAGATGAAGTGGTAGATGGCGTAAGTAAAGAATAGTAATATATATATATTATGTATATACATTACTGATATATAATATAAAACTTCCAACAATTGGTTCGAATCCAAGAGGAAATATGTCTTCTATTCGGATTCACTGCCAAGTCATTATTACCTATATGATAAGATAAGATGATATCCCATCCTATATCAAAGTTTATAAAGAGGTTAATGTTATTGAATGAACTTAGAGGTTCATATATATTTGTATATGAGTAATAAATTCTGTCATTGTAAAAAGAATTTTATGATAGATTAAAAGTTACGTACTAATATCATGTCGTTCCTACTTTATTAATAATATCTATTAAAATCTAGGTTATTTCACTCGGATTATCTACAAATTCAACAGAAATGACTTGGAAGTACGAAGTAATCCTGATCTGGTACTACTGATCTGATTTTGAAAATTCTCTTAGTGTTGGATAGCCCATTTATTGAAGGCATATATAACATCACGCTACGACCAATAGGAGCGGAGCTGAATTCAAAATTTTACCACAATGGGGAAGACGAAAGTATCACTTTAACTGCTTATTATCATTAGCTGTTATCAATGACATAATTAAATATTAACCTTATTTTTTATATAATTGGAATGGTAAACAAACTAACGGCCCATGTGATGGTAAGTGGTAACCGTCGTATAACTGAACAGCACAATAGTCTTGACTTAATACAAAGTCAATCTCAGAACAGACTAAAACGAAAGAAAAGAAAAGAAAGAAAAAAAAGAAAGAAAGAAAAACATTTACTGACAACCATTATTAAAATACATACATATACAGGGTTACTGGTTAAGTCGACCTATTCCCTTTAATGACGTAAAGTTTACATCATTTCTGACAAATTTCACAATGGGACACCCTATTCTAATCTAACCGTTTTTGAAATATTTAAATTTAAATGATGATAAAAATCTCGATTTTCGGCTATTAGCTTAGATATTTTAAAATGTGTAAGTCTTATTTTTACTATTATTTGATTTTTACATGTAAAATAAGCTCTATCACCTATTAACCAATATTATACGTAAAACGAATAAGTAAGTCAGTATAGACGATTAAAATTAAAAAAATAATAAAAATTTAAAAAGTATATTTCTTTAACTGAATAAATCAGTGTAGACGATTAAAATAAAAAAAATAATAAAAATTTAAAAAGTATATTTCTTTAACTGAAAAAATCAGTGTAGACGATTAAAATTAAAAAAATAATAAAAATTTAAAAGGTATATTTCTTTAACTGAAAAAAATAATTATGCCGCCTGTGGGCGATAAAGGAAACCAGGGAGTTGTAGGATATATATATATTGTATATGTTAATATTATAAAGAAACACTACTAACTAAAACCGAAAAAGAACAATAGATAGTAGTGACAATTTAGAAGATAATTTTGGTATTCGAAATATAAAACATATAAAATAGTTATAACCAAATAAGTGGCCTGTATTCCACACCGCCTGTTCTGATGTGCTCAAAAATATATACGTTACATTATATTTTTACGAAATATAAGAAATGAAACGCACGTGATAACTTAATAGTACAGTGTAGTAGGTATAATAAGACTGTACGTGCTGACCTTAGAGCA